GCTTTTTTTTTTTTTTTTGCGGTACGTGGGCCTTTCACTGCTGTGGCCTCTCCCGTTGCGGAGCACAGGCTCCGGACGCGCAGGCTCAGCGGCCATGGCTCACGGGCCCAGCCATTCCGCGGCATGTGGGGTCTTCCCGGACCGGGGCACGAACCCGCGTCCCCTGCATCGGCAGGCGGACTCCCAACCACTGCGCCACCAGGGAAGCCCCAGTGTGGCATTTTTTTTAACCTTTCTTTTCAAAATCTTAGGGGGAGGAAAGAACATGGAGAAGTCACATATTTTCTTGAGTTTGGATAGAAGTATTCCAGATAGATGAGACCTCTAGGGATGGGTTTATAGTGTCTGTCAGTTCCCAAGTGTGACGTTTAATAGCACCAATTATCAGGAAGCCTTTACTGCTTCACCCAGAGAAACTTGCATTCAATCCATAAATTAATCTCTGGAGATTCAAAACAAAACAAAAAACTGAAAATAGAAATGTTACCCTTGTTCAATAAGCATAATTATGTTCACCAATTCTTAGAGGGAGAGCAAAATCTTCACCTAAAGCCATTCATTGGACCTCAGCAGTCAGATGGACTATTTCCAGGTCTTTGAATATAAAAAATATTTAAAAGCTTTCCTTGTGGGTTTGGGTTTTCAAAGAGGATCCCTTTGGAAAGTTGGCAAATACTTACTTTCCTGGCACAAGGATTGGTTTTTTTCTTTTCCCCTCCACCCAAAGCTATGACAGGGTGGAGTGGAGTATACTTCCATGAAATTGCATGTTTCCAGAATAGGATTCAGTGTTATATTTTACTGCTGTTAGAATTGAATCTCTAATCAAAAATAAGCAAAAACCAAACATTCTAGAAATAGAATTTCAGCTCATATTCTCTAATTTGGTCTTCATATAGGATAGAATTATTATATCTTATAAAAGTACCTTTTGAGCAGAAATGTAGCAAACAATCAATTAGCACAGTGGTTCAGATTCCATTCCTGTTTCTGTGATCTCATGTAGTGACATCCACAGTCTCAAATGGCAATCACACCATATCATTAACGCTGTTCAGATTCTCTCGTAGTCTGGATAGCTTGCAGGCAGGGGCATTGCATTCTTCAGCTCCTTGGTTTTGCTTACCAGCACAAGCCTACATTTAACCTAAATGACTGGGAACAATCCTGGTGTTCCTTGCTAGTGGATTGGGACTCGCTGTTGCCTAGCGTGGGATGGATCTATAATAGATGGAACCTGCTTGTACATTGTATAGAAGTGATAATTGTGGATGAAAGTTGGGATCAGCAGCGTAAGAAAACTATAACTATTGTTTTGCTGGGTGCTGTGGGTTATATTTCCCAAGGTCTCAGCTAATCGTTTTTGCCTCCAAGGTGACGTGTACAAGGCCCTAGCTGTGGCAGATAATGCTAGGATAACACCTTTTAAGATGCTTTTCTCGTTGGTTCTTAAACATTAAACCCTTAAATACTGCACTGGAGAGAGAAACGTGACAGCGGTGGCCCGAGAGATGATGAGCCATCCCTGCGGGGCAGACTGTCTTAGCCTTCTCCAGGATGTCCTCGGCGTCTAGCCGACTTAGACGTACAGGAAGTGCTTAATGAATAGTCGTTAATGTCCATGTGTCTCCTGGGCTTGGAGAGCAGAAAATGAGTCGAAACAACTCCAGATACGAAGGAGTGAATGCATGTAGAAGAATTTCAAACACTGTTTGAATAGGACGGACGAGTAGGCAAACGTTACCATCCTTTCCCACCTTGAAATTGTGTCTTCTGGTTTGTCTGGGTTTTTGGGTTTGGTGCGTGTTGTTCTTGCTGTTGTTTTTAGAATCCCACTGTACCTTTCTTTAATAAACACTAACATTCCTTCCTATTGTGAGATTTTGTTTTTTTAGTCCTTTGGTTGTTTTTTTTTTGTTTTTATTAACAAAAAAATTAAACATCCTTTAATTTTTCTGAAGAAAGACACAGAGGGCTCCTCTGGCCATAGGATGATGTTAACACTTTTCGTCATCCCTCTTTTCTTCTTATTCCCCCAGTTTTGAAAGTATGGTCTTCAGATTCTAAGTGGCTCTTCTTCAAAGACCTATCTGCTTTCACAGTGAACTCTTGGTACTTAAAAGGTCTTTGATGACTAAGGACCCCCTTGCTTGCCTGGGTTTCTACAAGAAGGTGTTCTCCTTTTTGAGAACTGGCTAGGTTATAAACATAAAAGATCTTCCCTGGGCTTCCCTGGTGGCGCAGTGGTTGAGAGTCCGCCAGCCGATGCAGGGGACACGGGTTCGTGCCCCGGTCCGGGAGGATCCCACATGCCGTGGAGCTGCTGGGCCCGTGAGCCATGGCCGCTGAGCCTGTGCGTCCGGAGCCTGTGCTCCGCAACGGGAGGGGCCATGGCAGTGAGAGGCCTGCGTACTGGGAAAAAAAAAAAAAAAGATCTTCCCTGAATGGCTCCCGGGCAATTCCTAAAATCTCTTGAAGGAAAAGTTTCCTCACGTGAATGAGTGGACCTTTTACTGTTTCCTGGAGAACTGGCCCAGAGGCACAAGACAGGTGCCAGAGGAAAACCAAGAACCAGGCTGGGGACAGGGAAAGAGCATGGCGGTGGGTGCTGAGGACAAACCATGAAGGAAGATGGAGGATGCAACAGAAAACATGTGCTGTAGCTTTGCATGAGAAGAAGGCTTCTGAAGCCTGTGTTTCCCTCTTAGTTTAGGTTTTACTGAGCTTTCTCCTAGGAGATGAACTAATAGTGTGCATTATTAGGTTATGTTTTTAGGCATAAATCTGTTATTTAAGTAAGGCTATAAAAGCCCTGAGCTTTGCTTGGACTTGATAGGGTGCACACTCCTTGAAGCAAAGGTGCTAGTGTAAAGCATTTCTGTTGGAGCTCTTGGTTTGCTGAATGAAACCATGGAACCTGCGATCCTTGGCGCTTGCCATGTGCAGGCTGGCTGTCTCTTTCCCCTTGAGATGGGAGACATTCAGGCACACAGCAGGCACGTGGATCATGGGAATGCATGGGACCACCCTTCTGTGATGGTAACTCACCTGGTGTGAAACATTTGAAAAACATGCCAGAGCTTGGGGACTTGACCTCAGTGAACAGGGGAAAAAAGGAAGCCAGAGGGGAACATGGCATATTTTAACTGCAGCAATTCAGGTTTCTTTAGTCTTCAATACTTTGATTCACTCTCATGCCGTTTCTTTTAATTCGTTTACAATTATTGCTTCAAAATGTTTTCATTTACTCTGATTCTCTCCTATGAAGAATGAAGAGGCAGGTCATGACTTCCCCTTTTCCCTCTATCATATATTATTGCCAGAAACTCCCTCAACAAAGAAAAAAAATACACACACACACACACACACACACACACACACACACAAAGGTGGTACCTTCAACTTCACAGGATTTTTCAAAGTATCCTATCTAGTATTAGCTCCAATTGTGCACATTCAGAAACAGCAGAGCTGCCACTTCATTACCAACAAAAGATGGTTAATCACAGGGTCTTATATGAAACCTCTGTTCCTATTTGTTGGGATTTAGAATCCACGATGCCTCTAACCAGCTAAGGATATAATGACTAGGTGAGGTCAGGGCAGTGTCCACTGAGCTCAGAGTGGTGAGTGGACACAAAGGTTTTCTACAGGTACCAGGGACTTGTCTCTGAAAAGCAGTGAAGGTACCTGTTATGTACATTAATCGATTTAGTCAACTGATATTGACAAGTAGTCAAATGATTGATTCGATACTGGACGCTGTAAAATGATTTTGAATACTTTAGGTGAAAGATAGAATGGTGGTAGGAAAAATAGGTTGTTTTTCTATTAGACATTAAGTTTGAGTAAAAAAAACTTTAGATAACGCCGAGCGTTGGTCCTTCTAATTTGAGTGTAGGTTTTCCCACCAGAGACAGACCTGGTTGTCTTTACCTTGTCCCATAAACCCAAGAGTAGAGAAGTAGAGACTATTTTGTCGAGCCTGATTCTTCTGTTCACATAGGTATTGGATTGATATGTGGTGATGTCCATGATATCAAGGTAGAGGCAGCAATAATTAGCTCTCAGGGCTGATTGCCTCTCTCCACGAGAGCTGGGCTTTGGGTCACTCCTGAGCTCCCTTGATTGACATGCCAAAATTTTGAAGAAGTACAGAATTATGGTTACCAGGAGCAAAAAGGTGGTTAGCATTTGCCAAGAATTAATGCCTAAAAAGTGTGACTGTTCTAGAGGTAGCTGTGTTCTAAGAGTATGGTCAGAGGAAGTGGAGTCCTGGGATGTAAAGGTTTGGGGTGAGGAGATTTCTAAGTGCGATTTTACTGGCGAGGAAACAATAACGCTGTATTAGTTTCTAGAACAGTGGTCCAGTCTGAGGTTGATGTTGTGTATGGTCACATTCTGTCCGTCTGAACTTTGCTGCTTGGAGGACGTACTTTGGGTTGGAAGGCTCCGTATCACATTTGATTAGATTTTTTGTGAGTCACAGACGTGGAGGGTGAGCCTGGCCCTGAAAAGCTTTATCCTGTCCATTAGCAGAATTCTCAATGATTTGGCCTATCTGTCTTCTACTCTCCCAAGCCTTGGGGTTTAAGAAATGGTGTGTTTCCAGAAGTTTTTCAGGAGTGCACACACTGTTGAATATGGCTTTGGCAGCTGTGCTGTTGTGGTTGTCGAAGTGTGGAAGAGCGTTTTCGTTCTTGGTCTCTTGTTATGAAGAGCTGGTTCTTATCAGTAGTTCATCCTGCCGGCCCACAGTGAAATGATGTGATGAGAACGCTCTCAAACTCAGAGTGAACGGGACGTGGCACCTGCCACATCAAACAAAGATAAACACAGGCAGAGGTCACTTTCCATCTTCTATAGACCTGACCTTTATTGACATCACCTGTGTATCCTGCTGTGTACATAAGGTTTCACATCCAGAGGCATCGATGTCGTGGGAATGTATTCCAAGTATGTGTTTTTAAGGTTATTTGTTCTTCTGTTTCCATGAACAGATATCAGTATTACCTGCAAGTCAAAAAAGACGTGCTTGAAGGGCGGTTGCGATGTACGCTGGAACAGGTGATCCGACTGGCGGGCTTAGCTGTGCAAGGTAAGAGAGTGGGGACCGGTGTGTGACAGTCCGTCTTCTGTTGGATGTTGGTGTCGCTGGCCTCTCAGAGGGAAAAGTTAAATTTACTTAAACGATCCCTTAGTAACTCTCACTTTTCATTTCAAGGTATCTTACATTAAAAATGCAGAGAGAGTGATTTTTAGAGGCAGGATGTTGGATTTCTCAAAGCTGTGTGCAAATTGCTCATGCTTGTATAATTTTAGTTTTATTTGAAGAAACAGCAGCCTTCATCCTGCCTCTAAGTAAAGCTACATTGCAGGGTTGGTGGAACATTTTCTTAGAATTTTGTCACTGCCCAACATGGTCATATCTTGTGGCTTGACGCTATGACTGTGTGACTTTCACATCAGTGTCAAGTGTGAGAGCTTAAAACATTGTAGTGTAATTTATTCCGACACAGTTAAAGAGAGAAATTTAAAATGCAAGATTGTAATGTGGAACAACAAATGTGTGTTAGAGTACCTTTATCTTTCAACTTGTCCTACTTAGATTGATCAGACACCTATGTTTTTATCTTCTCTAAATCGTTACACATATTTACGTAACACACCATGTGAGTTTTTACATATCTTTATACATTACTCTTTATTGAGGGGTAGCTTCATTGTCTTTAGTCATGTTGAAAACAAGATAAAAGTATAATTTTTAAAGAGAGGCAAGTTTCCCTTGTAGTCATGATTTTCTTTAAAATCAGGTACCGTCCAAATGCAAGCCTGCCAGCCGCCAAGTCCTTGCTGTGTGGATTGTTGTAGAAGCTGAGAACTGAACTTCTTATCTGTAACTGCACTGAAGTTAAACCTTTTGGGTTTGAAATGTCTAAAGAGGCAGCCTTTCCTTGATAACTTTCATTTTGGGGATATTAGCGGGTTAGCGACTTTTGTTGGACGTATGATTCTTAGTAGGTAGCTTCTCCTGTTCCCCTGTGGATTGGAAGTACGCAAAATATGTTGTATCTCATCTGTTCACCTAACACTGGAAAGGGAAGGAGCAATGCCCAGAACGATATAACGAAACCATCCGTGGTTATAAATGAAAAATCATTAAAACAGTGGAGAAGACACCCTTAATTGGGGAGAAGAGAGAGAAGATCAATGGGTCCCTCATCTTCATCTTGGGTCTTTCTCCTTTAAAATGCTTCCTTTTCACTCACTCTCTTTTTTTCCCTCTCACTCTTTAATCGTTGGGCTCATTACAGGCATCCTGGATATTGGAGGACCCTAGTGATAGCTTTCAGGCTGAAGAAGTTGGTGAACTTACTCTGGGTTCCCTTTTCCTTGGGTCCTTGAAGCTCGCTGTTCAGTCTGATGAAACCTCCTCTAGCTATAATATTTGTAAAATAATTTTTCTGAGAACCCTCATTGGGCAGTTAGAAAGCCACATCAACAGAGATAAAAGTTGTGATGAAATATGACAACAGATAACTGACCTTGGAATTAGGCAGAGCCTACGATCTTTGGTGTTCCTGAGTGCCTCACCTTGTTAATTAGTTATGTGCTGAGTTTGTAGGTGCATCTTTGCCTTCTTGGTAACGGCCTTCTGTGTGGATCCCCTCACTCTCTAGTTCTTGTTACCTAAAAGATACCTGAATCCATTTCTACCTGATGCTAAACATTTTACATGAAATTAAAATTTCATGCTGCTTTGAGTTGTTTTTTTTTTTTGAGAGCAAGTAGGATTCGAAGCAAGACATTTATAGATTTATGATAGAGGCGCACTGTATTCATTTTACATGTGCTCAAACTTACAACTGTGAGATAAAAGTAGGAGAAAACAGAACTTTGGGCATCTTATAACATGTGGAGTTGTTTAAGAGGTATAAAATTTGCAAGGATGCTTGCCAAGGGTGATTTACAGTGGGAATTTCCAGCTGCAAATATATGAAGAGATGCAGATGGGTTTGTCTCTTCAGTTCTCTAAATTAACCTTGAGTTAAAAAGTCCCCTTGGCATGGGCTTCCGTGGTGGCACAGTGGTTGAGAGTCCGCCTGCCGATGCAGGGGACACGGGTTCGTGCCCCGGTCCGGGAGGATCCCACATGCCGCGGAGCGGCTGGGCCCGTGAGCCGTGGCCGCTGAGCCTGCGCGTCCGGAGCCTGTGCTCCGCATCGGGAGAGGCCATAACAGTGAGAGGCCCGCGTACCGCAAAAAAAAAAAAAAAAGTCTCCTTGGCAGATATGTGTTGGTGAATATTTAATAAAAAGATAAATATAGATTTAAGTTTTTAAAATAGCTTAGGAATCACTTTCAAATTTCCCCATTCTTTCTAGAAAATTATGTAGCAGTGCTCACGAGCTTATATTTACATTATTGCTATGTGAAAGTGGTAGTAACATCAAACCCATCTTGGCACTGTTTTTATTTAATAATAGTACAGAAGTAGGATAAAGTGGCGAGAGTAAATGTGGTGATAAGTTTACCCTATTTTATTCCATCTTTAATGTCATATAATAAAGACTGCCCTCCTTCCCCTTCTTTTCTTTTCAGCTGATTTTGGAGACTATAATCAGTTTGACTCTCAGGATTTCCTCAGAGAATATGTGCTGTTTCCAATGGTAAGCGTAATTTCCTTTTTCTTAATTAATTTTCTACCTTCTATGGATATTTAATTCTTTCCTTTGAAAATCTCAGAGGAATTTACACACATATTCCCTGGGGAGAATGTCCCTGCATTTATAAAGTAGGAACAAGTTTTGTAAGACACTGAGAATGGCGAAGATGCCTCTTCTTACCTCCTCAAGACACTTCCCTGCCCCCGGCCCCATCACACCAGCCTCCACTACTATGTTCTATCTTCCTTTCTGAGCACACCCAGCTTGGTCCCATCCCAGAGCCTTTGTACTGTGCCTCCTCTGCCTGGAATGCTCGACCCCAGGTCTTCTTATGACTTGTCATTCAGATCTTGATTCAAATACCACCTCCTCAGGGAAGACCTCCTTTTCCTTGACCATCTATATTATACACTCCAACCATCCAGCACTTCCTGCCCTTTTATGCGTGTACTTCAGAGCTCTTTCAGTATCTGAACGTGTTCATTCTTTCTTTCATTTTTACTGTCAGCTGGAATGTCAGCTCTATGGTCCTTAAGCAGGGACTCTATCTCATCCACTGTTGTCTGGCACGTAATTTGCATGCATAAACGTCTGTTGAATGCGTCCATGAAGTAAAATGTTTATTCCTGGGTTAAATTAGGGATGAGGCTATGTTTTTATCCCTGGAGTATTTTTGTTTGTTTTTTGGTAGCTTTGGAGTAATTGAGAAGAGCTTTCACGAGGAAAGTTAAAACATTTGAAAAACCATTTTAGGGAAAGGCTATACCCGCTCCAACATTCCGGCTCTGATTTTAGAAATCACGAGCATTTACCACTTTTTTTTTTCCCCTGAGGGATAAAGTTATATAAGAAACGGTGCTTGTTCTCAGGGCGACGACAAAGTGGCTGAGTCAATAGGAAGTTTGCAAAATCCTAATGCAAATCCAAGTGTAACAAAGTATGATAGGGATTCTATGTAGGGAGAGGTTACCTGTTTTCGGGAGGCGAGGGTAGGTCGAAAGGCTAATGGTGTGTGAGCTGCATCTTAAGGGATGAGCAGCATTGCAGCAGGCAGAGAGGGAAGGAGCAAGGGATGCTCTAGACAGAGGCTGGAGGAGGAGAGGCGAGGCGGCCTGCGTAACTGGGTGGGAGTCAGCTGGCCAGTCTGATGGCCGCTCGGGGGTGCGGAGGGGAGTGGTGGCAGAGAAGCCTGAAACATCTGAGGAGTTAGAACGCGTGGGCTCCGTCCAGGGGTTCCAGGCCCCACACTTTGAGGACCACTGGATTAGAGTAATGAGACCGTTTGCGGAAGGACGTCAGATAAGAATCTGGTGTGTGGTGTTCTCGGCAAGACATAAGAATTAGGTGTTGGCAGTGAAGATAAAAATGAAAAAGCAATGCAAAAGATATTTTGGAAGTACAGTGGGCAGAGCTTGGCATCTAAACTACTGTGGCATATGGGAGAAAGTAGAGGGGTCTGGCGACAAAGGTTTTAAGTGTTGAGAGAAGGGGTGAGTAAGGTTGCAGTTATTTCCTGTGTCAGTGATGAGATGAATCTAATTGGTCCAAAACTTAAAAAAAACTTTTTTAAAATTTTTATACAATTCTTAAAGGTTACTTTCCATTTACAGTTATTACAAAATGTTGGCTGTATTCCCCATATTGTACAATACATCCTTGAGCCTCCCTTATATCCAGTAATTTGTACCTCCCATTCCTTCCTCCCCTACTCGTAACCACTGGTTTGTTCTCTATATCTGTGAGTCTGCTTCTTTTTGCTATATTCACTAGTTTGTTGTAGGTTTTTAGATTCTACATATAAGCGATATCATACAGTATTTGTCTTTCTCTGTCTGACTTATTTCACGTAGCATAATACCCTCCAAGTCCATCCATGTTGTTGCAGATGGCAAAATTTCATTCTTTTTTTTATGGCAGGGTAGTATTCCATTGTGTGTGTATCCATTCACACACACACACACCCCGCATCTTCTTTAGCCATTCATCTGTTGATGGACACTTAAGTTGTTTCCATAGCTTTTCAGTTGTAAATATTGCTGCTATGAACATTGGGGTGCATGTATCTTTTAGAATTAGTGTTTTCTTTTTTTTTCAAGATACGTACCCAGGAGTGGAATTGCTGAGTCATAGAGTAGTTCTATTTTTAGTTTTTGAGGAACCTCTCTATTGTTTTCCACAGTGGCTACACCAGTTTACATTCCCACCAACAGTGTACAAGGGTTACCTTTTCTCTAAAGTGGTCGAAAACTTAACCTTATTCTTCTAGGTTAGGGAAATACTGCAAAATCTCTAACTTTTTATGAATAGCTCTCTCCTTATTCTTCCCACCAAGATAATAGCAGTATTATCTTGGGCCTGCTGTTTGTTATGCCTTATTAATTCCACCGATTAAATCAACCTCCACTCAAAGAGATTAGCATATTACTTAGCAGAGAAGTTCTTCATAGGACTTGGTGTCAGTATCTGTAACAACTCAGCAGCTCACACAAAAGTCAGGATGTTTTCTGGTGTGCTCGGCGGAGCAAAGTGAAAGTGATACCTTAGAATTTTAGAGAACGTGTATGTTTGTGTCAAACGGAGACAATGAATTGGGTTGATAATTTTTCACAATTTTTTTTTTTTTTTTTTTTTAACCTTTCTCTCATTAAAGGTCTTTATCACATAACCTTTAGGCAGAGATCAGGAGAATTTTCAAGGGTGATTACGAGCATGAGATGTATGAGTTTGTAGGTGGTAAGATGCTTTGACAGGTTAAAGTGCTGTAAGGCAGCTAAGGAGTTATTTTGTGTATCATACCTTTTTCAGAATAAGACCATGTCTCCGCTGGGCTCTAAGCAAATCAGATATTAAAACAGCAGAGACCTCATTCAGTCTCACTGTGCCAGACAGATATTGATGTTGTTGTCCTTGGATCTAAAACTTCCCTCTTTGGTATAGTAGCTGCTAGTGACAGGTGGCTGTTTACATTCAAATTGAAATTAATTAGCATTAAATAAAATTAAAAATTTAGTTCCTCAGTGGCATTAAAAACGTGTTCAGTAGCCACGTGTGGCTCATGGCTACTGTACTGGAAAGCTTGGGTATAGAACATGTCCATCATTCCAGAAAGTCCTACTGGACGGCCCTCAGGATGACGTGGCAGAAGCTGATGTCAGCATGCATATCTGATTCGTGAACATTCCTAGGCTTCTGCCATCAGTCATGTATCCTCTCCTCCGCCCCACGACCCTGACCCCTGTTGTATCCTCGATACACTGTGGCCTGTGGTCAGGAGGTTTAGAGTATAGGGGTCAAGTGTTCTGTGCCCATATCCTGGCCGTGCCACTTACTGGCTGTACACACTTGGGCAAGTTATTTAACCAAAGCCTCCGTTTCCTCATCTAAAAATGAGGATAGCAAGCCTAATCTGACTGTGAGGATAAAAGGAGAGAATGCCTGTGAAGGACTTAATCGGGCACGTGGTGAATTCTCAGTAAGTGTCTATTTAGTTGTCATCATAATCACCGTTGTCCTCACATTATTATTATCAGCGGCATTATTTTTCTGTCTCTGTTAGGCAAGCACAGGCTGCTGAAGAGTGTGCTTTCCAGGCAACAATACTCTGCACTTTGAAATGTGAGCAGACAGAGGACAAGCACAGTGCATAAATTATCATTCAGCCGCTTCGCGTAACTTGAACCCTACTCAATACCCTGTAATGGCCTATATGGGAAAAGAGTCTAAAAAAGAGGTGCTGCGTGTATATGTATAACTGATTCACTTTGCTGTCCAGTAGAAACTAACACAACATTGTAAATCAACTCTACACCAATAAAAATGAAAACAAAACAGAAACAAAAAAACCCTCGCCTGACGGTATGACACTGACACATTGCATATTGAGCTGAGCTCAGCTCAGCGCAGTCAATGTTTATTGATCGTCTACTGTATGTGGAGAGTTTATACGCTGGCATTGTTCAAAGCCCTGAGTTGGGCCCTGGAGGCAGTGTGGAGGCTCGCCGCTTGCTGACCTTAGGTGCCTGTCATCTAGCAGAGGGAGGGAGACAAGGATAAAGGGTAAGATGAGTATCCAGATAACTATGTAAGAAAGACAATAGGTAGACTATGGTAAGAACTCTAAGAGAGACACACAGGGCGGAAGAGGTAGGTCCAGAGAGGGAAAGGCTTCTGTCCCACGTGAGAGAATATGGAAGCCCTGTCCAGGGAGTGGTAGGTGTGTCAGGACCTGAAAGATGGGGTGAGACGTGAAAGCAGTTTGTGTTAGGAAGAGTCGGCCTGAGGCCTTGAACCCTTGAGAGAAGAGGTCTGAAGGGACGGCTGAGCCACACTGAAAAATGGTCTGAATGCCAGGCCCAGGTGTTGACCTAATTGAGTAGGCAGTGGGGAGCCATGGAAGGTTGCAAACTTTCTGCTTGGTTCCACTAGAGCTTTCAAAGGGAAGAATGCATTCCTTTGGTGGGGGAGGGAAGATGGGATGAATGGCTGTGTTTGATCTTATAAAGTAACCGAATTTGTCAAATGGCATTTCTGCAGCCGGTCAAAGAACAAAGTTAAGTACACAGGGCGCTCCCCAGGTGTGCAGCTGTGTGCAGGCTCGCTCTCTGCCATTTTTCATCCGAGCGCAGCCACTCTCGCCTGGCCCTGTGGTGGGACCACATACCTCAGGGAGGCCCCAGACACAGATGGAGGCGGTGGGGTTGAGTACAATAGCAGAGGGGTCCCTTTGGACTTTTTCTTCTTTCAAAGTAGGAGACAGCAGTTTATTGGAGCACCTTTTGATCTTCAGTTATCTTTATTTTATTCTATTGCCACATGCCTTTTATTAGCTTTTCAAAATGAATATTGAGTTATTCCTAATACTCGGTACCTGGATGCACAGACATAGCTGGATTCCTAAGCCACGTGGCATCTTTGTGATTCCACAGCATAAAACTGAAAACATCGAGCTTGTTTCCTATCGTGGACTTGAGTTGTTTCAGTGGATGGCTAAACAGAAAACAGCAAATTAATCAGTAACACATGAAAAATGAGAGCTGCCAGCAATTCCCTCCATCTTCTCTAAGGTTTCTCAGGACCATCTGCAGAGCTATAGAATTTCCAATATATAGTTATGCTCGCATGTTCCAGCTTTAAGAAATATTGATTTTCTCCAGTTGCATCATTTGAGATGGGATGTTTCTTGCAGTTTTGAGGTGTACCTTTGGGGGGTAGTGTTTCATGAAAAGCTGTTAAATTGGACGTAATCTTTATAGAAATGATATTTTAGAACCAAGGGAATGAGGCGTTTTGGATGTTTTCTGTGAAAACATCAGTCCCCCCCCCCTCAAGTGTCTTTGATGAGCCTTGGAAGGCTTACCGGGACACACAGCTCGGAGCCCCTTCTAACGCCCCCTCTGGAGCTCGGAGGAAGACGGAGCACATCTGTGCCTTCCTTGGTGCTCACCAGCCTGGGGGGCTTGGAAGTCGCACCTGGGAATGGCAGAGGCATCTGGGCTGGAGCCACCGAAAGGGATGGGATGAGCTGTAGAATCTCCATGCTCGTCAGTGTCTCAGGAACTGATTGGTCTCCCATCTTGGATGTATTCGTCCAGACTCCATCTCACTTTCCTGCTAAATGTTTAACAAGCCCTTTAAACACTCCCGCCGTCATTGAAGGCGAGTTGGGAAGCGATGTGTCCAGTTGACTCTAATCCCATGGGAGCCAGCACAGCACTGGTCCAGGGGCCTGGGATTCAGTTGGTCGAGACACCAGCTGGTCAGCTCCCCACCTGTTACCTTCTGGAGCTCTGCTGTGGCGGTTGAGCTGTCGTGGCCTCTTTTGTTCCCAAGGCCCCATCAACTAGTCTCTGAATGAGCCAGCTCTGACTTCAGGTGGCTCTGAATTAGTTTGCTGGGATTGTGCTGGTGGATAAAAAGGCCAGGCACAGTCCCTTCTTGGGCTCAGCTTTGGAAGGGATGATGACCTGGAAACTCATTTGCCTGTATATCCTCACTATTAAAAACGTGTAAGCACTTACAGAGGATTTTTTTAAACTTTTAATTTTATATTGGAGTATAGTCGCTTACCAATGTTGTGTTAGTTTCAGGTGTACCACACAGTGATTCAATACATATACATGTATTTATTCTTTTTCAAGTTCTTTTCCCATTTAGGCTGTTACATAATATTGACCAGTTTCCCTGTGCTATACAGTAGGTCCTTGCTGGTTATCCATTTTAAATATAGCAGTGTGTACACGTCAATCTCAAACTCCCTAACTATCCCTTCCCCCCCACACCCTACCCGCTGGTAACCATAAGTTGGTTCTCTAAGTCTGTGAGTCTGTTTCTGTTTCTTAAAAAGCATTTTTAATGAAAGTCCAAGAGGCAGGCAGATAGGGAAGAAGAAGGTAAATGAAAAAAGAGCTATTCCCAGATGCTCCAGAATGTAGATGGCAACCCCAAATATGCCTTGAAATAGCCTGTTACAGTGGAGAGCCCTGTTACAAAAGTAAACATGAACCTCTGTCCTAAAAATGACAACCTTTAATTCAAAGGAGTAGGGGCTTCCCTGGTGGCGCAGTGGTTGGGAGTCCGCCTGCCGATGCAGGGGATGCAGGTTCGTGCCCCGGTCCGGGAAGATCCCACATGCCGCGGAGCGGCTGGGCCCGTGAGCCGTGGCCGCTGAGCCTGCACGTCCGGAGCCTGTGCACCGCAACGGGAGAGGCCACAACAGTGAGAGGCCCGCGTACCGCAAAAACAAACAAACAAACACACAAAGGAGTAAAGGGAGACTGAGGAAGTGAAGCTAATCAGGAACAACTTCTAGAAAAAAGAGAGCTTTTAAGGTTTGCAAGCAAAATAGCAAGTGACCTTAACTGCTTTCCATTTTGATAGGATTTGGCCCTGGAAGAAGCTGTTCTGGAGGAGCTGACACAGAAGGTGGCCCAAGAACACAAAGCCCACAGGTAAGGCGGGGGCTGCCAGGCCCAGCACGTGGCCACCGTCCTGTCCGAGGCAGGAGACATTCGGCCCCTTCACGCAAGCCCTGGCTTGAGTCAACACAGTTCTGTTTCTTGTAGCAAGTGATTCAGCTCTGTTCTGAGAGTGCATGTAGATTTGAAAACAGTGCTACCACTCCCCTTTCTTTTTTTCTCTCTCTCCCTTTCTTTTTTTTTTTCCTTTTTCCTTTTTTTCTTTAACACCAATTGGCCCACATGTTGGCCAGAGGAATTCCTCTCTGTGACCTTCCTAAAACTGTTGCCAGACCTGGGAAGCCTGGGACTGACCCACTTTACAAAAGATGGAGTTTTATCAGAAACCTAAAGCAACTGGCACATCTCGGCGATTTGGGAGATGCCTGCAATTTCAGCATAAACATTTCACTCCAGGCTGAGTGCAGACCTCAAGAGCTGCTTTGGGTGGGAAAGTCAAGGTCAGGAGGGGAAAGAGTGAGATCTAAGGCATCCCTGAGAGCTTGATCAGGGCTACGTGGAGCTCTTTGGGACATGTGCAGTGGTCCTAGACTCTTATCTTGGTTACTTGACTCCCAAAATGTCATCCTCAGAAACTTTTGCCTTTCTTCCTTCTTTCTTTTTTAACAGTGGAGACTTTTTTCCCAGGTGGGAGAAAAATACATTTTTTTTTTTTAAAGCAGGCAGCATTATTCACCAGGATGTCTGGAATAATTATTTAGTGTTTATAGGGCTGTAGCTCTTAATTAAATATTTTACCTTCCTCTTATTATTCCCTGTTGAGTAAAAGGCTACTGAGGAATATGTTAATGCATTACTTAGTAATGTACCATGCCTGCACAGTTGGTTGGGTGACAATGGCTTTTCCCAGAACTAAAACCACAGTTCTGGAATTTGCCACCAGGAGGGTAGGATCTTCCACTGACTTTATGGCTCTTAACCATTTCCTCCTTTGATGCTCTTTTGATTTTAGTGGAATCCTGCCAGCAGAAGCTGAGCTTATGTACATCAATGAGGTGGAACATTTGGATGGCTTTGGACAGGAAGTCTTCCCTGTGAAGGTAGCATACCCTCTCCTTGCTTCAGCCGTCTCAGAACAGCACAGGCATTTGGAAAACCAGTGTTGATTGAGAGCAGAGAGCCAGAAGGCTTGGCTTCCTTACTGCTACGTGGCATTAGCTGGCAAGTCCAATTTACTTTAGGTAAAGCAAACCCTTTTTCGTAACGGAGAGAGTTTGAAGCTTTCCATGGTCTTCAGCAGAATATCTCGTCTGTAAGACAACCTTCTGAGTGAGTACCAAACACCAGCCCATTTGGTGCCAAGAATTTATCGAGGCCACATCCAGCCTTCCAGTGGGACAAGGAGCAAACATCGTGCGTGCCTTAATACAGACCCTCCCCAGCAGTTTTCTAGCCCGAGCTTCTTTTCTCTTCTCTTCTTTGGGCTGATGCAGTGATCATTGTTGGTGAGGAAGAATAACATTTCCTGTATGCAATCATACTTTATTTCTCCAGCTCTACAGAGCCTCTGTTGTGAGTTCCCAGCCCCTTTGGTGTTGTCTGGAAACTATGCCTAGGAAACGGTTACAGCACATCCCATCCTTTGTAACAGATCCACCTCCTGAAGTGGGTGTGGTTTGGGGGTTCGTGGTGCAAGGTCATTTACAGAGCTGAGCCCATCATCCAAACTCATTTTCCTCTCTCTGCTGACCCACTTTACAAAAGATGGAGTTTTATCAGAAACCTAAAGCAACTGGCACATCTCGGCAATTTGGGAGATGCCTGCAATTTCAGCATAAGCATTTCACTCCAGACTGGCTCCTCTGGCTGTTGTATAAGTGTTCTGTTCCCCCTCTGTTGCACGCTTGCCATTTGCCTTAATGAGAACTGCCCATGTGTATCAAGTAGAAGCGAGCAGGGTGTCCGCAGCTTGCAAAAAAGGCTAAATGGCTCTTTTTTAGATTTGTTTAATTTTCTTTTGCTTCTCTAATGGCTGCCCTTCATAGGGTTGTAATCCATTTTCCTTGCAATAATACCTTATGAAGCCATCTGCATCCCACTTCCATTTCACCAGCCCATATATAGTCATGACATTTTGGAAAACCAGACTAAACTTTTCTCCACTTCTAGAAAACTGACTTCTCAGGCCCTGGAAGTTGGAGGTTTTGTCATGGTGGTCATTTGCTTGTGTTGTCTTTAGTGATTCTGAACTGTGGGAAATAGAGGCAGTGGAGACAGTGTTGAAATCCACCGTGCTTGGTTCTGATGTGTTTTCTAGTCTGTCCTTTAGTGGGAAAAGTACAAGGGAGATACCAGAGCTTAGTCCGAGTGGGCAGATAGGCACGGCTGACTCACTGCCAGTGGGTGTAACTCAGCTGGGCTGCTGCTTTTTTTCTTCCTCCACCACATATCTGTTCATGACTCAGGTGACCACCTACAGACCACATGATTCCTGGGAGACCCAGGAATGATGGGTGGGGCAGCAGTAGCCGTGTGCGCAGTGATGGGGTCAGCTCTAAGTGAAAAAGCCACCAGGAAAGTATGCCGGGGCAGCCTGCCCATGGGGATGGGGTCCCTTTGGGTTAGTACAGGTCCTTCTTGACCAAGTAAGGTTTAAAAAGTGTGTTATGGATGTGTCCCAGGGAAGAACCTTTATGTTTAGTGTAGGTTTTTCCATGAGTGGTTTCTCAAAAATTTTCAAGGTTCAGGGCGGGGGTCCCTTCCATTTCCTGACAGGTCTGCCCCTCCCCCTCCACAAACACGGGGCTGGCCGCGGCCTCCACCCTCCTGTATTGTCAGAGCACGTGGGCATGGAGGGACGGAGCTTCTGGAATGGGTCATACAGAGTCTGGAGCCTCAATCCTTGACTAAGTTGTTCTGACGGGTATCCGTTCTGTGTTTTTTCCATTGTCCCACCCTGGTGGCCTGCTCCTCCCATGTCCCCATCCCCTCCCACCAGGCCTCTGCACCCACCTACTGGCAACGTGCCCAGAAAAGTCTTCCTACAGAATTTTCCTTTTTCTTCCTGTCTCTACTTCACCTATCTTCTTTTCCCTCACAGATTTTTCTGTAATACAGCTTACCTTTGAACTTCTCATAATTACCGAGGCCCTCTTTTTAAATTATTTATTTATTTATTTTGCTGTGTTGGGTCCTCGTTGCTATGCGTGGGCTTTTCTGTAGTTGCGACGAGCGGGGGCTTCTCTTGTTGCAGAGCACGGGCTCTAGTCTCACAGGATTCAGTAGTTGTGGCTCACGGGTTCTAGAGCACAGGCTCATGTAGTTGTGGCTCGCGGGATCTAGAGCGCAGGCTCAGTAGTTGTGGCGCACGGGCTTAGTTGCTCCGCGGCATGTGGGATCTTCCCAGACCAGGGCTCGAACCCATGTCCGCTACATTGGCAGGTGGATTCTTAACCACTGCACCATCAGGGAAGTCCCCGAGGCCCTTGTTTCCTCCCCAGTTCTTTCTGTCTCGGCTTCTGCCATCAGCAGTTGTCTTTCCCTTTCTCTGTCTCTGTTAGAAGACGCCTGCTTGAATGGAAGCTTTGGGAGGGGCGTTGAGAAGAGGTCCCTGAGAAGGGACACTGTCATCTTTGTGTCTTAAGTGGGATCAAGTGTTCTGAGGGAGGTAGGGGTTTATCTTTTCCATCTTAGGCCTAGTTGGTCACGGCCCTCCACTTACTCCACAAAGAGGATGTCCCCCGAGTGAAAGCAGGAGGCTGGGTGACAGTTTACTCCCTGGATGCTGAACCTTGCTCCCACTCTGCTCTCAAGAACACTGGAAGCCGGGTTATACTCTTCCAGGCGGGAGGCTGGAGGCACCTGACTGGACCAAGAGACCAGACCGAAGACCTCTGGGTTCCCCTAGACAGGGCCCAGCAGGTTGCCCAACAGTGAAGCCTATCATGCACGTGCCCTTCCTGTGCTCACAAAGGTCCCAACCAGCATTTAGCATCCCACCCTGGAACGTGAATAGACAGCCGAGCATCCTCCACCCCCATGATGCCCTAATAGGAACAATAGACATCAACCCAATGAGAATGAAGCAGCGTGAAAGAGGCAGAGAGTCTGCAGGGTGAAGGGCCCCCTGCCCAAAATACCATCCTATGAGTCTCAAGGATAAAAAATTAAAATATATTACCTTCTTGAAGGAATAGAGTGCTTTTAAAAGGGAACATTCGGCAACTAAAAAAGAACTCTCAGAAATTTAAAATATGATATCAGAAATGGAAAACTTAATAGATAGGTTAGAAGATTAAATTAAGAGAAATCTCACCCCCCCAAAAAACCCAAAGTGATGGAATGTGGAAGGCAGGAGATAAAGTTGGAGGGCCAGCCCAGATGTCCAACATCTGAACAGTGGGAGTTCTAAAAGGAGTGAAAAGGGGAAACAGAAGGTAGCAGTTTGAGAAAATATCCCAGAACTGAGGAACATGAGGTTCTAAATTGGAAGGCCAAGCATGGTGGATGCAAATAGACACACTCTAGGGTTTTAAGCGGTGGAAGTGGATGCCTTTAAGGGAGAGGAAATGGTGGGTCCAAGGCTGCTTTTAAATAAGATCTAAAGACGATTCAGTTCTTCAAACTGTGTGTGTAAATAATTGCACATATGCAGTATGCAGATAAAATCAAACTGTGTGTGTGTATAATTCTGATTTAAAAAACCAAAAACTAGGGTTAGAAAAGATATTAATAGATATTCATGAAAGAGAAAATCTTAACTGCCTACAAATCTGAGAAAATCCTAAAATTCTTTCTCAAACAGGAAATGCATTGTGACAAACTGAGATAAAAGAAAGAAAGGTATCTATGTAGTCTATTAGGATGTGCAGTGGGATGCCTCCCTTCGGACCTAGTGGCTTTTCTGCCCCCATTCCGTTCTATGATTCATTGCACGTATGGGCGAGAAACGGGGTGTGGTCCCCATGGGTAGGCTGCCAGACCGCTGGGGATCTGTTTCATCACAACGATCTTTTGTTGATCTTATGCAGGACAATCATGGAAACAGTGTGCACCTGGGCATTTTCTTTATGGGGATTTTCGTGAGAAACAGAATTGGAAGACAAGCAGTAATATACAGGTAGTCTGATTTGTCTTTCTCCTTTTTCCCCTCGAGGTGCTCTAGCAAACCCCATGGAGTATGAAAGTTATACAGATGAGTTAAGAGGCAGACCTTGGATCAGAGTTGAGCTTTTCTCAACTCTGATAAGATCCGCCCCCTCTGCAGGATTTCAGGGGTTATGGAGAAATTCATCTCACTTTCCCTGGGGGTTTGGGGATGGGGGATGTTCTTTCTTTCCACCTGACCCCAAGAAATGCATAGTTGAACCTCCACTGAGCCAAAGAGTGGAACAAAACTCTGTGAGTCTGGTTGGAGATGGGCTCTTCCATGAGTCAGGTCCCCATGGGATTACCTTTGCCTCGATTACCCATGACCAGTCACTAAATCCACACTGGCTTCTTCCCATTGCCCTGAACCCTCTACCTAACCACACGTGCTAGAAAAGTGCAAACTAATTTTTCTGTTAACGAAAGAGGTCTGTTTGTGAAAGTCTGTTTTGAAAAAGCAATCAATTTATCATAACTGAAAGGACTTGGGTACTTTTTATTATTTTGACCCTTCAACCTTCTTTTCCATTTAACATGAGTAGAAGCAGCATAGGGAAGTGGCAGGGTGTCCCCTGCATTACATGTCAATGAGCTTGCTTTGTATAGTATCAACAATCCGAAAAACTGCATGCCTGCTTTCATTTACGAGGGCAGTGTGGCCTATTATTTACCAGAAAGACGGCTTTCCAGTGTGTGCATCTGATAGGCAGAGCTGCACGTGCAGGGCAGATGATCAAAGACAGATCTTAGAGGCAAAGCACGGTCCACTTTCTGGAAGTGAGTTCTTGGCCAGCCGTGTATTTTCTGGATCAGCAGTTACTGCAGGTCATTTTGAGAAAGTTTTCCCACTAAAAGCTTCCTAATGGGCTTTTCTTTTCCTAGGTCCCCACCCTGCCATTATTTTCGTCCATTTATTTTCTCTTGCTCTTTGAATAGAGACATTATTGAAACAGGAGTGGGGAGAGAGCTCTTTGGAGCTACAGAATAAGCTTTTTGACTATTGGACATATTCAGTCAACTCATATACCTACAACAAATTAAATAAAATATATGAATATGTACAGAGTTGTAACTCTACACTTTTATGCCCATGTAAAGCCATCCAGGCATTTTGTCCCACACAGTTCTTTGTAGCTAAATCAGTGCTTGAGTCTGGAGAAGAGAAGCAGACACGTCTTGGATTCTGGCTATCTAGATTAAGTAGAAAATAGCAAGTTGAAAGTTTGCTGATCATAAGCACCTCACAGGTTTTGTTCAGTTTCCTTAGGAACTGCTTCTAGACTGCTTCCTTTAGCGCTTGCCTTGAAACCCTTACAAGATGGGAACTGACTTCTACTACAGTGTCATGTTAATTGTGCCACTAAGGTGAAGTCATATGGTGGAGTGCGGAGTGGACCCAGAGTTTTGGCAGTTGATTTGAGGGAATGGAGCTAGAGGAGACCACATCTCTCTTATCTCTTGAGACCTTCACTAAGGAGCACGTAGCTTTGAGTCCACATGGATGTGATCTAATGGAATTGTAAGTCAGCAGACAGCTGTGCAGAACACCTGTAGATGTACGTAAAAACAGGTGGTACTGGTGTAACGGAAAGCTGATCGGAGGAATACCTGGAAGGTATAGAACTCATCGGTCCCTGATGAGCAGAGTGAGTGAGGCTAAGTCATCCCCTTTGGCCTGAATTGCCTCATCTCCAGAGTGGAACGTAAATAGCCGCCTTGCCTACCTAAGAGAGTTGATAAAAGAACTGTACTCTATACAGATGCGAGACAACCTCATTACTTTGCATTATTTCAGCAAACATCTATTGAATGCTGTGTGCCAGGTGTACTTGGTGCTTGGAATACAGAGATGAAGAAAGCAGAATCTCTGCCCGGGGCATGAGGGCCTATGATCGAGTTTGGTTTAGTTAGGGATCTGGTCACAGACATGAACAATTGTGATACAATGTGGCGACTGATAGAGGACTGCACTAGGCCCTTTCCTGGCATGTGGGTGCTTGGGGATGAGGAAAGGCTTCCTGGAGAAGGTGACTTCTTCTGAGTCTTAAAGGAATCATGCAGGCAGAGGTGGAGTGTAATGTGCAAAAGCAGGATGGTGGGAGAAAGCAGTGGGCAGGGAATTATAGGTCGGGGAACAGAGTGAAGGGTAGGTAGTATAAGAGGTGATTAGAAACTGGCTCCAAGTAGAATGGGAAGCAGGAGCTAACCTTCCCTTGTCTGGTGGTTCTTTCTGTGTATCTCATTTTAGATAAGATCTCCATGAGGAAAGGGAAGGAAACGTATGTGTGTGTTTAGATCACAAAAATGTAGGCACATTAAACACTCCCTAGGTATTTTTTCCAAGTGGCATAATCAGATCTGTAGTGTACAGCACAACACAGAACCTCTGTGCGTTCTTCAGCCTAGATTCCTGGAGACACATGATTTTTTTTTTTTTTTTTGGCTGCGCTGCATAGCTTGTGGCATCTTAGTTCCCCGACCAGGGATCGAACCCAGGCCCTCGGCAGTGAAAGCGCGGAGTCCCAACCACTGGACCGCCAGGGAATTCCACACATGATTTTTAAATGACATCCCCCTCCAGCATTGAAAATGGGGATCACAGGAAATGCTCTGTCCATTTGGAAGCGTGAAAACCAAGGCAGTGGAAGTCTCTGGCACATTCTCCTCCTAGGTCGTAAAGGAAAGTGTACTTTATTAACAGCAATATCTAGACGTCGTTGACATAGGATTTTTAGCTATTTAAATAGATGCGTGTTGCATTTTATTTCCTTTTCTGCTTTGAGAGGAGGGACGTTTAGCTTTTAAAAATATGGTTAAATCATACTTTGTAAAATGAGACTCAGGAATAACAGGTGACACTCCTATGCCGTCATAAACGCCTAGAACGTTTTTGGGCAAACGCCGTTGGCTTTCTTCTGTGCAGGTGGAATGACATGGGGAATATCACTCACAACAAGTCAACTATCCTGGTGGAGCTCATCAGCAAAGAGGAGACTGCCCTCTTTCACACGGTAAGCAAGACGGGCAGGGGAAGGCAGGGTCCCACAGGCAGCTTGCTGTTTGTCTTCTCAACCTGTAACATCTTCTCCTCGCTCTCCATGTCAGGACACAATAAATATTCTGTTGAACCCATAACTTTCCAGTACCTGCCCAGAGCTGTCATCACTCATTTCTGGAAGGTGGTGGGGACCTCATGCTCACAATGCTGGGGTTTCAAGCTGAGTTTTGACTCTAGGGTTTGGGTTCCTCCACCAGCCTTATATGTGGTGGATCACATTGTCGGGCATGCCCTGGACTAGTCACCCCTGATGGTATTGCGTGGTATTTTCTTTTACTGGCTGCTTGGGATTTTCTTTGCCATCATAATCCAAGCCTGATCTGAAGCACACTGGGTGATTGCCTTCCTGTTGAGTGCCTACTTGAGAGCCGAGGCACTCCCTGCACCTCCCTGCCTCCCATTTGATGATGCTTGGCGTTCATGCTACGCTCTGCCTCGATTTATTTACTGATTTGCAAAGCCCTTGGTTTACCATTACGTAAAGACACGTCAGATCATCACTGTAACCCCAGCGTCTCTAGCAGACAGTATTTGTCTGCCATCCCTGGGTGGGCTTCATAGACATGACTGCCACTGCATTTCAGCACACTGGTTTCTGGCTCAGGGGGCTATTGTGTGCTTGACGTGAAGGGAGGAAGGGACGTGCCCCTGCTCAGAGGAATCCTAGTGAAATGCATATATTTGGATTGGCCAAAAAGTTCCTTCGGGTTTGGATGGCCCAACCCGAACGAACTGTTTGGCCAGTCCAATACAATCAAACAGATGTTTATTTTCCCCCCGTTTCTTCTTCTCCAAGGATGATATCGAAAACGCCAAGTATATATCTCGATTGTTTGCTACACGGCACAAGTTTTACAAACAAAACAAAATCTGCACTGAGTAAGTAAACATTTTGTCCACCCTCTCCCGGGATCAGCTTCAATTCTCGTGCTTTAGGGATGGTGTAGATCGCTTTTGATACTGACTCTTTTTCCTCATTCCTTGTAGAAGCTAAAGGGGCAAGTTAAAGCCGGGCGGGAGGGAAAGAGCTTTAATGATGAAGACTGTCTTGTGTAGTCTATATGCCTAGGGAGAAAATGATTTGCAAATTGACTGTGAATGCTTGACTTCCTGAACGGATTGGCCGACATCAGTGCCTTTCCAACCTCTGCCATGAGTTTGGAGGAACCGAGTGGTTCCCAATTTGCCGGGGCGCCCCTTCGTGTCAGATGTGGAGTGTGTTCAGAAGCAGGTAGCAGAGTGACGAGCCAACTTGAAAGAGAAGAAGCTGCTGTCATCCTCAGCCCTGTGTTGCTCACACAGTTGGCTAACCCTGCGTATGCTTCTGGGTCACGTCACCCGCCTGTAAATGAGAGGCCAGGGTAATTAGAGGAAGACTTGGAAGACGCTAATAGATGTCACAAATCCATGTGTGTGTTTTTCAGTTTAATTTGGAAATAAAGATGATAAAGGGAGTCTGATGAGGGAACTTAACTGTGACCTGACCTTGGATATAGCGTGCCGGGCTCACACTATCATAGCCTTTCCTCTGGTTGCCTTCAAAAGACGTTCCTCAGCAGAGTACATCAGCAGTTGGGGCGTCCAAGGTGCTTAATTTTGTTTCAAAGAACCTCAGGATGTAAATGCAGGAGAAGAACTGCTTTCCCACTTCCCCAGTGGACACATGCAAGAGTGTGAAAATACTGTCCTAGAGCAGTTCCCGCTGAAGAAGGTGCTGCTATAGAACTGGAGCATCAGGTCCGGACAGACTTTTTTCTCTACGTGATGGAGGTTCTTTCAAACCAGTCTTTGCCATTGGCCACTGTCAGAGTCTGAAAGTATATTTGATAGTACAGTTGGTCCTCTGTATCTGTGGATTTCCTATCCGCGAATTCAACCAACCGTGGATCAAAATATATTCCAGAAAGTTCCAAAAAGCAAAACTTGAATTCACTATGAACTGGCAGCTCTTTACATTGTATTATAAGTAATCTAGAGATGATCTGAAGTATATGGGAGGATGTGCATGGGTTATATGCAAATGCTATGCCAGATGATATAAGGCACTTGAGCATACATGGATTTTGGTATCCGAGGTGGGTCCTGGAACCAATCCTCCTTGGATACCAAGAGATGACTATATAGTATTAGGTCTGCCAGCAAAGTTTGCAAATGTAAATCAGAAGAGCACTAATTAGAGAGCAACAATTTAAGCCACCATATGTGTTATGGGTACACACGTGCATACACACGCATGCGCGCATAGACACGCACACCATTCTTTTGAACAGATTCCCTATAGGTCACATCTTTGCGGTTCTCTGCTGTTGCCTTTGATTTGTTGGGGTGTCTGACATTAACAAGAATTCTATAGTTGACTTCTGTAGGGTGAATTTAAAAACAAAACTATTTTGAGAAGTGTAGTCTTCTGGTTTGATCATTTCTTAGCAAGTGGCTTTAACATAAAATGTTCTGAGTATTTGTAATTCTTTTGTGGCCTTTTCTTCTTACACGAGTGAGCATCACATATATGAGTGAGCATCACATATTAGACTGAAAATTAAGGAAATTCTGTTTTCCTTTCTACTTCTGTAATAATCATTCCTTTCTTCTTCACAACCATGTATGGGAGGTTCCTAACCGCTTATCTGATGAAAACTGGGACTCTCTAAAAAGCATACCCCCTACCCCACATAGACAGTAAATTCTGTATATATTGATAGTTTCAGAGCCTCAGCATGGGCTACATGAGGACTTGGGATAGCCCTCTGGAGTTTTAGGAAATCAGCCTCATCTGAACAGCATCCTTCTCCAGAGGTCTCCACTCCCTAACCTCTAAAAGACTGTTGTTGATTTTTATTTCCCTTATAATTTGTCTTTAGAAATAAGCCTCGTTCTTCTAATATTACTTTGTAAAACATATTATAAAAGTATCGTATGTTCCAAACATTTTGAAAATAAAAAAAGGACAAAAAAGAAATCGAAATTGTTCTTAGCTTCAGCACCCAGAAATAGAAAATGTTTATGTTTTGCTGTAATTCTCAACTCATCTTTTCTCCTTTCCCCTCTTCTCCCTCTCTTGTCTATCTGGTCTTCTTGTACATGGTAAATAATAATAATGACCATCCTCATTTTTTTCAACTTTTCACGTAGACAATCAAATTCTCCACCCCCTATCAGACGCCAGCCCACCTGGAGCCGGTCCTCCCTGGTATGTATGAAATCTTCAGTTATCAAGTCCTCTGACTGTCGGGGTGTGAGTGTCCCTTTGTTGTTAACTTGAGGAGAGGGATGACTAGGGCATCATGACTAGGTCATGACCTCATGACCAGGTGAGATATGGTGAGAACACAGAAGGGCATCAGTCTGCTATGCAGGTGAGATGCACACCCATTTTGTCCCTCTTGTGCCCACCCATGTCCGTCACTTTTCTAAGTGTGACTCAGTGTTCACCCCCATGAATTTTAGTCTGGGCCGATGAGACCATGTTCCTTGAGCACGCAACCTACTGTGTGTTTTTTTCCACTTGCTTTATCTATCTTTATCCACTATTTCTGATTTTTGCATATAGACGTGTCTTCAGTTATAATCTCCACAAATTCTTTTATATTCACTGCCATAGACAGAGTTTAATAAACTAGTCAGAAAATGTCTACTTTAAATGAGCAAATATTGAAGGAGTCTAGTTGATGGTCTTAGGTAGAGTATTCAGTGGGGAAGAAAATTAAAATTAATTTTCTGATTTTAAGGCCAACAGAATTTGAGTTGATCCACTTTTCTACCTACCATTAGCCTTTTTTAAAAAACTGCTCTACTAATCATGTGAATAAGGGAAAACAATTCATTTCATTGCATGTGTTCTGTCTTAGACTGTGTTTCATTTTGAGAATTGAGGATATCATAGCAAGACGTGGGAGAGTTAGTTTCCTTTAAAATGTCTACTTGTTTTACGTCATAATTCTTTTATTTTAGATTATGATTTATTTTACACAAAATCAGAATAAACACGTGACCTTTAAATGTGTGTAGGTTGAACAGTTCCTTTGAGTTGATGGGAGAATAAAATGGAATTTTTCTTTGTACGCAATATATATCCTATAGCACGTCTTTCACTTGTCTTTTAAAAGGAACTGTTTTAGGAATTTTTTTTTTTCTTCTGGAAAATGCATTGACATGAACTCTTAGAATTCTAGAGTTTGGTCATCATATCACATAATATTGATAATTCCTGCAAACCCACGTGAATATGATTAATCTCTGTGTTAATGGGCAACATCTCACAAGAGGTCTTTGCCTTGGAGGTGTAGGCGGCTGCTTTGGGCTTCTGCCCTGAAGTATCAATAGATTTGTTCATGGCACTGGTTTCCTTATTCTTCTCCTTTGTTGATATGATTTTCCTTTTCCCTTCCTTAGAGTCCACATGTCTTTACTAGTGACATAAATGTTCACTTGTGTCCATGAAACACCAGGGGAAGCAGAGTGTTTTAGGGCTATCTTGTGATTTGATCTCATCCTAATTATCTAGAGAAGATACAGAGGCTTTCCTGTTTTGTTTGGATGAAGATAATCTACAGGAAGCCAGATTCCTGGCTTCTCCCTTTCCTCTGCCCCTTAGGATTAAACCATTTCAGCAAGAGCTCCTTGGGATGAGTGAGAGTAAAACCAGAGAACATTGTCTCCTTTGGGCCTGGCTGATAACAAGGGCTTCTAATTGTTGTTTTTCTCTTGCCCTTCTAGCTCCTATATTGTGGCATCTAATTTGTTTTCGTGTTAGCAGATCTGGAAAGAAACAATAATATATTGAAATATATAAAGAGACAATAAATGATCCTGAAATGGTGTTTGGAGGATTAGCTGTTACTGTTTCTCACTTGTATTGCTTACAGACTTATGCCAGTTCATAAACGGTCACCTACGTATAGGATTTTTCTTTTTTTTTTTTTTAAATAAGAGTGAGAGAAGGCAGAGGTGAGCCAACTTTGCCGTGCCGTATATTTCTGTTCCCTTGTATGAATCCCTCCCTACTGTTTTGTTTTGTTCTGTTTTGTTTTTTTAAACCTAAAAACTGGCTGTCCAATCATGGAAAAATTGAGTTGAATTACGTATTATCAAAAAGAGGAAAAATATTTTTAAATTGCTACTCAAAAACCAGCCAAGAGAGATTTGGGAATATTTAGAAGAGCTGATACCCTGAACTACTTTCTTAGATTAATTTCAATTCTTTACTTCCTCTACCTTGATTCTCTTTAATTTTTGGATTTCTTGTCTTCATTACCTTCTTTATTTGCCCCTTTGATGCTTAAACATTATTTGTAGCAAAGGAAATAGTAGATGAGTTATTTGCCCAGCCTCGGACTCTGCGTAGAGTGTTCTTCTTCTGTTGAGGAATACTGAGAAAGTGTGACCCCTGCTGGCTTTGTGGGGTTTTTTTTTTTTTTGACTTGATCTCAGCTCTGTCCCAAAGCAGTAACATTTAAACTAATATCTATAAGATTAATTTTAAAATAATCAAATAGAAATATAAGAGATCATCCTGTTTGGTGGTTTATAAGCTTAAAGTTTATTTTTTAATATCAAAACTCTTCCTTCAAACACATTTTTACCTGGAACCCTAATATGTGAATAAAATGGATCATGTTGGAGGGAGGAGACTGATTTGAGTGACAGGAAGCTGAGACCTACTGAGGTTAAATGACTTGCTCTAGACCATATTAGCCATTCATCATATTTCCTTTCTCAGCTCCCCAGTTAGTGAAGCTCTCTAAGCATTTTGGTGTTTTCTCTAAAAGTTTGACCCTCCTCTGCAGCACGGAGTTATTCAGGTTGAGTCTAAATGTCCGTCTTTAAGAGTCTTATGGCGAAGAGTCCTCACTGAAGGGCTAGATGGTTGAACTGGATCCTCTGCAATGGGAGGGTCCATAAGTGGTGCTGGGAACTGCACGCTCATTGTTAGGGATCACATTTCAGATTTTATATAAATTTGCAAGTGGGCCCATCTTAACACTCCCCTGTCCCTATTTGAGGCTGACGTGGCACTGTGAACTAGGGTCATAGGTACAACTGTGCTGATGGGTACGAACTTGTAGCTTCAGGAGGGACCCAATTTTGAATAGAAGGAAACAGGCTTCCGCCTTACTCTCATTATGTTTTAGGTGGAACATAATAAAGTACATCTTCTGAGTTATTCCTTTAAAAAAGGCGTTGGGAGCCTTGCAGGTGTGTTAGAAAATACGTTATAAATAGGGGCCTTCATGTTGATTACAGCCTCTTTCTCTCCTTGAACCAGCCTCCCCATTCCCCGCTTCTTGTTTCTCCAGTCCTAAGCTTGGTGACGAGACGGAGGTGCAGATGCTTAGGGCAGGGCTGGGTTGAGTGTGGAGAGCAGAGCATCTGCAGGGTGCCTCCCTGCAGGCGTGGTGGACGATGGGGACCATCGTGTGCTCGCGCTGGTGCTCGTGAGTGTTACGGCCGTTTGCGCCAAGGCCTCCCCCCTGTGCTGTGTTCTCTGTTTCAGCCCCGGCAACAACCGTACATCTTGCCTCCCATGCATGTCCAGTGTGGCGAACACTACTCGGAAACACACACTTCTCAAGGTAACTGGCTGGCCGCTGTCCCTTCTTAAGACGCAAAGTTGAGAACTGGTGATGGGTACTGAGACTTTTTTTGGGGGGTGACCGTGATGCTTTCATTTTAACTTTGTCATTGTCTGAATGGCAGCGGGCAACAGCTTGGATTTGTGAAAGGCATAGAATATCATTTACTCCTGAGAGGAAAATCTCCCCAGAATTGACTCCAGAGGGACTTGGAGGAAGGCAGTGAGCAAGTTCCTTTCTCCTCTTCCTTCTTGTAAGTGGGACAGAGAGGAGAGTGACAGCTAAGCCCCACAGAATACTCTTCACCCTCCTTGTCAGTGTCAGAGAGCTTGTAACAGTCAAGCAGGTTTTCAAGGTGACAGAGAACACAGGCATCAGAATAATTGAAAGAAATACACATAAAATCTCAGCCCCTCTTTTTTTTTTTTTTTTTTTGCGGTACGCGGGCCTCTCACTGTTGTGGCCTCTCCTGTTGCGGAGCACAGGCTCAGCGGCCATGGCCCACGGGCCCAGCCGCTCCGCGGCATGTGGGATCTTCCCGGACCGGGGCACGAACCCTTGTCCCCTGCATCGGCAGGCGGACCCTCAACAACTGCGCCACCAGGGAAGCCCTCAGCCCCTCATTTTAACTCTCCTTTCCGATCTCTCCCACTGGCCCCTTTCTCAGTGCACTTATTAAACTGTTTTATTCCTCTTTTTCTCCCTAAACACTCCCATGCAAAGTATGTAAAAAAACCCATTCCAATAATAATTATTCTGAGAAGGAGCATTTATAGAGCAATTCCTCTCCTTAAGCACTTGTTCTGAGCACTTGCACTGTATTGTCTCATTTAATCCTCAAAATAAACCTAGGAGATACGTACTGTTATTATTTCCATTTGACAGATACAGAAACTGGGGTACAGAAAGGGTACTGGGAAGCTTGGATATGAAGATTGGTGTCCTGACTCTTGAGCCAGGCTCTGTAATCATTACACTAACTGTATCTCCAAAAAGGAATGGGATTAAACATTGGATGTTGACAGTATGGTAATTGGATAATTTGTTTCTGGGTTATCGTATCATATTCTGGGTTATCATTTGAATCTTTCTGCACTGTCTAAATGTGAGCATGGAGACTAAGATAATCAAGATGATGTAATTTAATAACACACAACTTTTTATAAGCAGACTAGCAGAGTTACCCTGCTTCTATGGGAGGGCACCAAACCCCATTAAGGTGGATAAATGCAACACGTTCTCCTAGTTTTTCTCGCCTGTATCATCTCATCTGGTCTATGTTCCCACCCCTCCTCTTCAGGCAGCCAAGTGTTTTCAGTCACCTTTTCTGTTTTTTAATCTTTTCTGCCTTTGCTTTCTTCTACTCCGCTCATGCTTATATCTACAGTGTAAAAAATGAATATACTTTGCCCACAGAAAAGTGTGTTGGCAAGAGGTTGCCTGCCTAGGGGTGTCTCTGTATGTGTGTGTTAAAGGAACACTGGACCCCCAGAATGGGCCTTACTTTAGAAATCTGCTTTTTATCTCTTGAGGTACCTCTTTAAAGTATGATTAATTTTCATGGGAAACTGACCTCAGTGATGAAGCCAACTGTAGAGGCGGGTTTTAGGCAGTGGCTAAAAACCCTCCTGATTCTTATTGTGCCCTCCGTTGGTTGGCGATCAGAATGAAGCAGCCATGCGTGCCGACATCCCGACTGTGTTATTGGCCTCGTGCCTTGACGGATGCGCGGCAGTCCCTCAGGTACAGGGAGTTTTCCCACTGCGGTCAGGAAGATCAGCTCCCAGGACTCAATAATTTCAAATCTATTGCCCTATTAAAGTTCTTGACTTCCTGACCCAAACATCCAGTTCTGTCTCTGAGCCGTGAACAAGAGGACAGGTCTCCCAACGTGAGGGCCATTGTTGGTGCCTGATTTAAAAGCTCGTGGCCACATCGAGAACTTAACCCAGGTGATAACGGTTCCGTATGTGCATAGCTTTCTTTGTTTAGATTCACTTTTTCTTTTTAGTGTGCTTTAAAATGTTCCTTCCATATGTTGGCATCTTGCCCAAGAAAGTACCAGTTTTTCCATGGAGTATGTGGGTGGAGACCACGGGATTTCCCTTTTTATGATGTCTGTAAGTGTGAGGATGAACTTGATTGAAGCAGGTTGGTGTGGACGTTCACGTGCCTCTGTGTGACTTCTTGCAGACAGCATCTTCCATGGGAATGAAGAAGCCTTGTACTGCAACTCGCACAACAGCCTGGACTTAAGTTATATAAATGGCACCGTCACCAATGGCAGTGTGTGTAGCATTCACAGCGTCAACTCCCTCAGTTGCTCCCAAAGCTTCATCCAAGCTTCTCCCGTGTCCTCCAACCTCAGCATCCCTGGGAGTGACATCATGCGGGCTGACTACATCCCGAGCCACCGGCACAGCGCCATCATCGTGCCGTCCTACCGGCCGACCCCCGATTATGAGACAGTCATGCGGCAGATGAAGAGGGGGGTCGTGCACACGGACAGCCAGAGCCAGTCCCTGCGAAACCTCAACATCATCAACACCCACGCCTACAACCAGCCAGAGGATCTGGTGTACAGCCAGCCCGAGATGCGGGAGAGGCACCCCTACACTGTCCCTTATGGGCCCCAGGGGGGCTACGGTAACAAACTGGTCAGTCCATCGGACCAGATCAACCCGAAGAACACCACGGTGCCAAGCAAGCCCGGGGCAAGCGCCATCTCACACACGGTGAGCACCCCGGAGTTGGCCAACATGCAGCTCCAGGGCACCTATAACTACAACACGGCCCACATGCTCAAAAACTATCTCTTCCGGCCACCACCCCCCTACCCACGGCCCCGCCCCGCCACCAGCACCCCGGACCTCGCCAGCCACCGCCACAAGTACGTCAGCGGCAGTAGCCCCGACTTGGTGACTCGCAAAGTGCAGCTGTCCGTGAAGACCTTCCAGGAGGACAGCTCCCCGGTGGTGCATCAGTCTCTCCAGGAGGTGAGCGAGCCCCTCACGGCCACCAAGCACCACGGCACGGTGCACAAGCGCCACAGCCTGGAGGTGATGAGCAGCATGGTGCGGGGCATGGAAGCCATGACCTTGAAGTCGCTAAACATCCCCATGGCCCGCCGCAACACTCTGCGAGAGCCGGGGCCACCCGAGGAGGTGCCGGGGAGCCACGAGGTCCCCCAGCTTCCCGAGTATCACCACAGGAAGACTTTCTCGGATGCCACGATGCTGATCCACAGCAGCGAGAGCGAGGAGGAAGAAGAGGAGGCTCCGGAACCGGTGCCCCAGATCCCCGTGCTCCGCGAGAAGATGGAGTACAGCGCCCAGCTACAGGCCGCCTTAGCCCGCATTCCAAACAAGCCCCCACCCGAGTACCCCGGACCCAGGAAAAGTGTGAGCAACGGGGCGCTGGGGCAAGACCAGGTGTGCCTTCCTCCCGCCATCGCCAGGGCCAGGGTCCTGAGGCAGGGGCCAGCCAAGGCCATCAGTATCTCCCGGGCTGACCAGATGGCCATCAACGGGTCCTCTCTTGGTCCATCCATCTCAGAGCCCGACCTGACAAGTGTGAAGGAGCGGGTCAAGAAGGAGCCTGTGAAGGAGAGACCTGTGTCTGAAATGTTCTCCCTGGAGGACAGCATTATAGAAAGAGAGATGATGATCCGGGTAAGTGGCTTCCTCTCCCAGGGCATCTTTTGAGGGACAGTTAAACGGGCTGATTTCCACCCTCTCCCGCGGCCCCCTCTGCTCCTTTTCCATGATTTAGACATACATCCTCTGGGCACTGAAGAAAGCGCAAGCCTTATTCAGGGAATGTGGTAGGGATTTAAAAATCACTTGGCACATAAACAGGTAGTGTTTCATTTCACAGAACTTTGTTTTCACATAAACCTTCCATTCTCATTCATGGCTTCTCATAGGTGTGCTTGGTGCAAAGTGCTGTGAGAGAGTCAGGATCTTACAGGTTGGTGGTGTTGAGATTGGTGTCTGGGCCAGCATTTGCTGTTTATTCAGGGTCAGACTTCCCATTGCATGAGCTGCCAGGAGCTCACCTTCCTCCATCTCCTGGTACTTTGGTCCCTTCAGAGCACAGCTTTCTGTGTAGATCTAGATGTCAGGATCGTTCATCAATATTGTCCATGATGTATCCAGCTATATGTTCAAATCTTCTTTCGAGAGATGTTTAACACAAATCCAAGAGAATAACAATAAACCCAAAAGTCTACCATTGAGCTTCCATTAACCATTCTTATTCTATCAAGAATTCACACATGCATATTTATACACACGCCACACTTGTCCTGGAAGTATTCACTCCCTTAAAAAATCCTCTTAATGTAACCATTCAAACCTAGACTGACTTCTCCTCTGCATGTACCACAGCTGAACTATAAGGTAGCCAGGGCTTATTTTAGGAACTCCAGAGCAGTTGTAACTTAAAATGGGCTTTGATGGAGTTCATTAGACTTTCTTCATTTATAAGAGTCTCCCAGTTCTCCAGAGGGAATCAACCTGTAAAGAGCCAAAGTTTTAAGGAAGCCAGGTCCCTCGGTTTAGGAGTCTAGTCCATAGCAACGTTCCTACTTTAGACAAACCTTAAGAACATTCTTAGCCTCACGGTTTTGGCCATCCGTGGAGAATTGCTAAGAAGTTGGTGCAGGCGTAACTTTTTCCACCTAGAGGGAAATTGTGAAAGTTGTGCTGTGCCTGTGGGAAATAAGACGGTTGGGCTGAGATGCGGGGCTAGGTGCCTTGCAGGGGAGTCTTTTCCTGGGGATGGAATGAGAGGCTGGAATGAGATGCGGGGCTGGGTGCCTGCGGGGAGAGCTTTCTGAGTTTGGGAAAAGTAAGCACTGGTAGAAAGGGATTTTCAGCACTTCTTGGCCTCACACCCCTATAACACAACTCGGTATCAAGAACCCATCCGTCTAAGCATTCAGCTGCCTACGTGGTCCCCTGGCCTCACTTAGGTCGTCTTCGTTCTCTTCTCTTGTTACCTGTGTTAAACAAAAGCCTGTAGCCAAATTCACGGCACTGGTTCCCTACATAGTGCTTCAGGCATTATCACAAAGGAGCAGGGGCCTTTTCCACTGTTTCCACGCGTCCTCCCATCCCATCCATTGGGTAAGAGCGAATAGCCAATTTTACCCCTTAACTAGTTCAGGAACATCATTACCCCAGCCCTATGTCATTTTCCCTGATTTTTTTTTTTTTTTAAATGTGTACCTTCTTCTTCTTTCTTTTTTTTAATTTTAAAAACGGTTTATTTCTTGGCTATGCCTCATAGCATGTGGGTTCTTCGTTCCTCAACCAGCAGCTAAGATCCTGGTCCCATGCATTGGAAGCACGGAGTCTTAACCACTGGACCGCCAGGGAAGTCCCTTCTCTGATTTTTTCCCCAAATCCTACACACTTGTGAGCTCAAGGGCTGCCGCCCTTGGCTGGTGTCCCAACCTCAGAGTAGGACTTGGAGGGTCTTCAGTGAGCCAGGCAAGGTGGTGACCACCACTGGCACCGATGCTTGGGATGGGTCTCTATTGTCTTTGTGAAGAAACTCACCCCAATGACCTCCCCACATCCCAGATGACTGTCTGTCCCTCCCCCACCATGGGTAGCCTTTGCCTGGCTTGTTAGGCATGGCTAAGAAGAGGAGGCTGTCAGGGCCTCCCTAGGATAAGAAAATGAGAAAATGTAACCAAGTAGGAACTGGAGGGAGACAGCTATGGGGAGAATTTGCCCTGCAGGCAAGTCTCTCCCTCCAGTTCTGGAGGTGCTTATCCATTTGATGGTTAGTCCAGGCCTGTTGTCCTGATAGCTTCTCCTGGCTCCTACTGCTGCCTGGAAGACATTTCACTGTCTTTAGTGACCTAACCCCAAATCAGGTACTGGGAAGAGAAAAGGCCAAATCAGATCTTTGAATTAATTATTTTTGATCTCTGGTAATAAGCTGATAGGATAAGTAAGGAGGAGCTAAGAGAAATAGGTTATCCCTGGGGTTTCAGTTTTCATTAGGTAAGTAGTAATCCTTTCCCAAGAAAGACAAATAGGTTTCTTTGGGCTTTGGGGCCCAGTTGGGGTTACCTTATGGTGGGAAGGAAGCAGAAGGACTGTTGGGAAGACCTCAGGACCATTTATTAAAAAAAAATTTGCTCTCTTAAAACTTTGCGGAGGAGTAAAACATTCTCAACTAAAAGAGATAATGGGGGGAAAATTCTCCCTTACAAAAACAAACTAATAAGCAAGTAAACTAACACCCCCCCCCCCCCCCCCCCCCCCCACACACACACACCACCACATTTATATCCAAAACTTTCAAAATCTGTCTGGGGTTGAGAAACCAGGGCCAGTCTTAAGAATATTATACCTTTGGGACCTTTCTCACTTTCTCACAGTTAATCTTCCTCTGAGATGCTCCTTTTGTTTGTCTAATGGGTCAGCCCTGTCACTGGACCAAGCATCTTACTGACAGAATCACTCATAAAGGCCAGGGCGCCATTCTTTTTTTTTTTTTTTAACTTTATTGAAGTATAGTTGATTTACAATGTTGTGCTTAATTTCTGCTGTACAGCAAAGTGTCTCGGATATATTTATATACGTTTATATTCTTTTTCATTATGGTTTATCCCAGGATATTGGATATAGTTCCCAAGGCTCCATTCTGACTGTAGGTGGCATTGAGGGCGTGCATGTCGGGGTGTAATCGTCCCCTTACGCCCACAATTAGAAGAATATGCACCACGGCTCCATCAAGATACTTCTCTGGGGAGTAGATTTCTAACTGACAGACTAAGAAAAGAAATACCTAAAGGTTTGAAACAAGAAAACAGGAATAAGATGACTCCTTCATCTGTGGCAACCAAAGGAACCTGCAAATTGGTTTCCCTTTCGTGTGGCTCAAAATCATAAACTCTGTAAAACTCATCTGTTTCTATGCTTTATGAAGTCTCTCTGTGCTTTTGTCTTCTAAGACAAGATTATTTGGTGGGAAATGCTCCCGTTGTCTTGCCTGAAATGAGCAAATGGAGGTTTGTTGGTACCTCCATCAGTTTAGAGGGCGTGAGGAAGCACAGCCGTAGACCAGGTAACAGGAGCCCCGACTGATCCAGTTTCAGTGTCTGTGCAGGTGAGATAGAGAGGAGTTGCAAAGCCACAAACAAGGGCCAGGTGTCAACAACCGAACCTTCCGCTAAGTGCTCTGCTGGGCCCCTAGATCCGTGTTCTCCCGTGGCTCCGTCACATCCACCGCTGCTCCACCACGGTCCCTGGGAGCCATGGTGTCCATTCCTGTGGGTCTTCTGGATGAAGCATGAAGGGTGCTGCTGGGTAGGTCATCTCGGGTGGCCCCAGGCTGTGGTATTAGTGACTTTGCTAGAACCACAGCAGCTCTCATTTTGGGGATGATATCCCGGGGACCAGAGAGAGTCAATACAGGATTAACACCCTCAAGGCTTGAGCCCCTCTGAATGGAAACTTGGGAAGGTTTTTGTCCATTTATGTATGTATCCAACCTCTTAAGAATGCAACAAACAGTTTTTATAAGGTTTTTACTGTTTAATCTGTACAAAAGGTCCATCATTGTGATTAAGTTTGATTATTCATGAATCTCTGTTTCTCTTTTCCTTGTCCTGTCTTCCTTCAGCCCTTATCTTCCTAAAGTGTCTGGTGTACACTGTTTTCTTGTGAGCCCCGAGGCAGGGTGTATTTGTGTGGAGTCTTTGCTCTTGTTTGTTTGTTCGTTCATTCCTCTATTTTAAATAAAAGCTCAGGAGGCCTGGAGGAACCAGCTTCCTCCAGCACAGTGGGAATAATGGGAAGATTGTTTGAATTTGCCCTGCTAATGGTGTCTGTCTGCATTCCTTGGCTGGGGAGTTACAGATTTGGGGAGATTAAAACACATTCCAGCATTCTCCTGGTATTACAAACAATGAGAACATGCCTTTTCTTGCCGCAAGAATCTAGAGAAGCAGAAGATGGCAGGCCTGGAGGCACAGAAGAGGCCACTGATGTTGGCAGCCTTGAACGGACTCTCGGTTGCTCGGGGCTCGGGGCGGGAAGAAAGTCGCGTTGATGCCACCCGAGTTCCCATGGATGAGAGGGTAAGCGCTGGGCTTGTCAAACATGTGACTCATTCTCTGTGGTCTTAGGATTCCAACGCTCTCTCCTCGCCCAGACATGCCAGCACGAAGGCGTGTTTGACGAATTCATTCTTCAATTTGAAGCTTAGCAAGACCTGGTCTGTGCTGTATTAAATTGATCCTTTTCAACATCTCATGTTTCTTTGTCAGGTTGGTGCCATGGCGACCCCTAAAGACACCAGCCCTTACCTAGCTGTGTGGCCATGGTCAAGTCATTCAATGTCTCTGGGCCTGTGTCTTTATTTTTTTTGCAAAATGAAGAAGTTAAGCGGTTGCTGTAGCTCTCAATTTCTGTGATTTGTGTGAACAAATACCCTTTACTAGGGAGTGATTCTTTGACCCACGCATTTATAGAATTCTTTAATACACTGGCCCCTTGTTTGGCTATAACATATGGCTGGTTTATCATTGTTAGGGTAATGCATTGTGGGAAAAGTAACCAGAAGTTGCGTGGTAGTGTTTCAGAGGTGAAGAAACGCGTTCTTTTAGTTCCTGAAATTGCTGTCAGGTTAAGAAACAGGTCATGTAAATGTAATAGAGTGCGTTACGATAAGATTAGGGTTTAGGTTTTGCCAGCATGTATGAAGTATTAGCATGCTCTTAGAGCCAGAAGGGTCTTTAAAGGGATCATTTAATCTAATTAATACCATGTTTTGTTATTAGTAGCTTGACCGTGGGAAAAATAAAAGATGGGGCGTCTAATCCTCACGACCAGAGGACTGTAGACCAGTATCATCTTAAAATTTAGCTAAGAACAGCTGTGTAAGTGGAGGGAAGGACGTCTGGGTAATTAAGATGAACGATCTCCTTATCACTAGAACTTTAAACAGAGGTGATAATAACGAAAATACTAATTTTGAATTTCAACCCTTGCCTGGTCTGGCAGATTCGTTCTGTTTAAGGTATGAGTGAGAAGGAAATTGGTTATTGGACAAGAGACACGAGCAATATGGTCGGTAATGAGACCAAATAATCAAATATTAGTTGTCCATCTTGAAACTACTTATTAACACTGTCACTGTAAATATTTGAAGAAATGTGGTGGTTTGGTTGGAGTGTTTGGATAAGATAATTCAGAGAGCTGGAGATCAATTTCTGTTGCAGTTCAGAACCCTGAAGAAGAAGCTCGAAGAGGGAATGGTGTTCACAGAATATGAGCAGATTCCAAAGAAAAAGGCAAATGGCGTTTTCAGCACAGCAGCTCTGCCAGAAAATGCTGAGCGCAGCCGTATCCGGGAGGTCGTCCCCTACGAGGAGAACCGCGTAGAGCTCATACCGACCAAAGAAAACAACACAGGCTATATTAACGCCTCCCACATCAAGGTAAGAAGTGGGGGGTGGAGAGGGGCGTGTTGGGAAGGCTGGCTGAAGATTGCCGGGTTAACGGTAAAAGGGCAGGGAGGAGAACACATACGGGCTGCCACTGTGCATCCTGGCTTGTCCCCAAACCCCAAGGGAGTGTTTTTGAACTCCTGTGCTTTTCTTAGTCAACTGGAAGGCCATGCCTATCACTGCACAGAGAGAAGGAAGCCCAGCGGCCTCAGGGAAAAAAAACCTCAGGTCAGCTATTTCTGAAGCTTGCTCATTACAGAGGGTTTAACTTTTTCTTCTCTCTGTGTGTTGTAACTCTCCCGAGAACGCACAGGTGAAGCTGAGGATTAGCCCTTTCGGTGTGTAAGTGGCAGATGACGGAGAATTTGGAAATCACAGGCATTATGTTTCTGTCACTGGAGTTATGATGTTCAAGAGCAACAGAAACGTACTGTTTCTCCCTTGTAGTACTACTGGTTAGGCATTTTAGAGCTGAAGTCCCAAATTTGCATGATGTTTAGAAGAGTGGGCTAATTTCAACATAAGCCATAACGGTGTGGTTGATAATGAATCTTGCAAAATGTGCCACATTATTCAGTGCATTTGGGTCATTAAATGTTTGTTACTATTTCAGATACTCCAAATCTTCATATCTCAGTATTTCATAGACTTAAAAATTGGTCAGCTTAGCTTTACTTCAGTTAGAATTTAGAGTTGTGGATACATGTGTGCATGCAGTGAAGTGTTTCCTAAATAGCTTACCTTCCTCAGGGCTCCTAATGACAGAACACATTTGTTTAGAATGTCACCGATTGCTCTGACCTCTGAAGTAGGGGAATTATCTGTGTACTAATGGGAATTGTATTAGTATAATTGTTAACAGTTGTTACAGGACGCTTTTCAAAACAATACAAGGTTCAGATTCCTAGTCTGCTGTGATCAATAACCTTAGAAAATCTGTGTCTGGCATTATTTCCTTTCTTCATTGGACTTTTCAACTGTAGCCAAATTATAGGTAGGTTCCTTTGAGCCTTTAAAATACAGCCAGATGTCTGGCCTATGTTATCAGTTCTAATGGTTTTGATACAGAATATGGGAAGTGTACCATGGTTGGGTGTAGTGTTTTTGTTCACCCAGCATAGATAACCACATATATTTTTTAAGTGTCAGAAAGTCCTGTCCAAGGAAATAGGATGGCGTCAACCCTCATGGATCATATTGTGTATTCTACTCTTATTTTTCAGAGTGAGAACTCTCAAAACAATGAAACAGTAAAAACTGAGCCCCAGGAAACTCTGAAGGAAACTGACGGTGGTGAATTTCATGGGCTTAGTTTAGATAAGGAAACAATGACCAAAATAATGCCTGCAAAGATGCAGATCACACGGCTGCATCTTGCTAGACTGTCTGAGAAAATCTTCCACAGCTGCAATATACTATCTTCTTCTTTTGGCCAGAACGCCTCCCCCATTTTCCATCTGCTCTCTGGAAAAAGCTGTCAGTCTGCATGCGCTGTGCCCAGTGGGTGTTCTTAACATCCCTTCCATCCCTTCCTCCATATTCTCTGAGGCCCACATTTCATCTTGTGGATCCGGGTTAGACATGGGTGTGTTTAATAGACCCAGAGAGCTTGCAAGAACTTGTCCTTGTGATTTTGGAGTAGAGTTATATGTCTTGCCAATGTTTTCTCCCTGGGTTCCAAGCAGCCGTGAACGCAGAACAGAGATTTATTTGCTCCAGACGTGGAATCACATCTGTGAAATCTACCTCAGTAGCTTTGGTGGTTGTGTTTTTAATGCAGTTTTTAATACCCTCCTGTCAATACTTGGGAATATGCTGAAAGGCCCCAGGCAGCAGCATACTCTGGAAGTATTTATGGCTCCTATATTGTAGGGTGCCAGAGAGGCTAATGTTTAAAATCACAGTTCCACAGATAAGCCAAACTCCTAGCCAGCCGGCCAGCAAATGTATGAGTGTTATATCTCCCACCAGTACTCGGAAAATGGATTTTGCTTGCCAGCTTTGACCTAAACATGCCTTGTGTAACGAGACAATAACTGACATTGTTTTTGTTTGAATCAAGTTAGTGTATAGTTTCATAAAATAAATGAGAGAAAAAGTTTCAAAAAGTGATCACTTCTTTGCCCCTAGCACCATCTTGAGATCCCCACTGGTGAATGTGTAAGGGAGCCTAACTTGGCAGTATCAGGGCACAGGAATGGAGGCAAACCCAGAAAGAACCCCTCCAAAGGCCACCATTTCACCCTGATGGCACGAGCTTTCACACTCGAGGCATGACTTTTTATTGATGTGTCTCTGCTGCTAATATTTATAGCTGCAGAATTATCCTCCCAAGATCACCCTGAGCTGTGTGGGATAATGATTTTATTATCCAAAATCATCTCATGACTCCAGAGTTCAGTTGGATGCTGTGATATTGTACGAGGGGAAGGTGATGATAAAATATCACGTACTGTTGGCTTAAGTACATTCATGATACCTCTACTGTATGTGGTACAGAGTAGCGGGTACAACAGAGGTTTAGGATACACTTCATAACCAGGGCAGTGGTAGAAAGACATTGCTCCCAAAGGGGTGTTATTCCATGGTAGATTTTTCTATTATTTAAAAGGATGTCATGGAGTACTGGGTCTCAGACTGTGGACTGCAATATGGTAGTGGTATAGGAAATCAATTTAGTAGTCGGGAGCAGTTTGGGGTTTTTTTGTTTTGTTTTCTTTTCTTTTTTAATGGAATAGACTAGAAAAAGGAGAAGAGAATGGCAATTGCCAGTACATTGCACATTGGAAACATAACTATTATTTCTGTAACAAGTTGTTAGGTTATATACATATATTCGTGTAATATTGTATATGTGGGTATATATATATATATATATATATGTTTTATATATATGTTTTTAATATGCACTGGTTTGTACATAATTACTGTGGGTTGTAGACCAAAAATGATGAGGTATATTGTAATAAGCTTGAGTGGCAAAAAGTATTTTCGTGTGAGCATGGATGTCACTAGCCATCCGTGGTGCCAGGGCTTTTGATGATGGCACTAACACATTTGGCCTAAAAATATTATTCAGGGTTTGCAGGTGGCTAGAAAAGGACCCGTGGTCAGCATGTGACTGTCCTGGATTGGGGTTTATTCACTAACGCTTGCCTTGGTTTCCAGGTGGTGGTTGGTGGGGCAGAATGGCACTACATCGCCACTCAGGGGCCTCTGCCGCACACATGCCATGACTTCTGGCAGATGGTGTGGGAGCAGGGAGCGAATGTGATCGCCATGGTCACCGCAGAGGAGGTAAGGGGGAATGGCCGTACAGCCATCTGTCCCGGCGGGGGCGGGGGGCAGAAGATGGGCTTTGTGTCTACGCCTTTGCTGCCTCATCCTCCTTCCGGCAGCACCGTTTCTCTGCAAATCCTTCTCTCTCTGACGTGCATCTCTTTCCTCTCCTTACTTGCATGTAGGTTTGTTTTGTTTTCCAAAGATAATTTATTGTTATGCCCCATTTTTATCCAGCTCTTAACTCTTTTCCTTGGATCACCATGAACTAAAATTAAACAAACAAACAAAAAAGAACCAAACTTCAGTTCAGCCAGCTCACTTCTGTGTGCCAAGCAAAGCAATGATCTTTCCGCTGGAGTTTGAGAACTCTGGGGCTGCTCTGGGTAAATCGGCATATATTCCCAACCCCGGGCGTGGCCGGCTCCCATGCCCTCCTGCTTATCAGCTGAAAAGAGACCAGAGCTGTTGTTCCTGTAGAGGCCTCTTTCTTTGGGGAGAGAAAAAAAAAATCTTTTTCTTCCTTTGCCAAGTCAAACATAGCTTTTCCCTTGTAACTAGAGAAGTCTACGTGGTGTTCCAAAAACTGGCATATACCCCCGTTCCGTCTAGCAGTTCGCTTGGGAGCTTGCTGTCTTTGGGGGAAGACGTTTTGGGTTTCTTCTCTTGTCACAGTCTCGATTTTTTATTTTAATTTTATTTTAACCACTTCCTTTTGTTCCTTTCATTAAATTTTAACTTATGTTTTGAAGTCATTTAAGGAAAAAGAGTTTTCTGTTCGTTTGTTTGTTTTTTACCGTATGTATGGTATTGCATATCCCTTTCCTAACAACTTTAAAAGGATGGGGAACAGAAAGAACTGGAAACAAAAAAAGTCATGTTCCCTTCCTTAACTCTTCTGAGCAGATGCTTTCCAGAACGGCCCATTAGAAGGTAGTGATGAAAGACTTTGGTCTCTTTCAGGCCAGTTGTACTTCTCTAGGCTGACCTTCTATCCCACCTTCCCACAAAGAGTAAATGTTCCTGAAAATCTCTAGTTTTATAACTTTATCGAATTACATCCTTGGGAGGGATTCATTCAACTTAAAACAGTGTACTTAGCATCTGTGCTGACCCCAGGGTAAACACAACAGGCATGACCCTTGTCCCCAGGGAGCTTACATCCCAGTGGGATTTACAGTAAAAAGTGAACAAAGTCAGCTCGGACAGTGCTAAGTGCCATGGAAAACAAATGAAACCAGTAATGGAATGGAGGGTGACTGTGGGGCTACTTTAGATTAGACTGCAGCCCGGGGCCCTCTGAGGAGGTTGCATTTGAGCTAACACCTGAGTGACAAGAAGGGACCAGTCTTAGGAACAAAATCCAGTGATCTGTGAGGCAGCCAGAGACTTACAGTCTTTTGAAATCTGTAATTGATGTAGGTACTCAGCACTTATATAAATTAAAGGCCTCAGATAAACCTCCTTTCACAGGATGGTTAAATAAAAGAGGCAGGTGTGCTTCAAATTTAAGAAGACTCAATTCAACCCAAAGAACCAGGGCAAGATTACTTGTGTCACCCAAAGCTGTATTGCTTTGTGAGCAGGCCAGCCTTCACTTGCCACTCATTCCCCCAGCTCCGTGCGCTGGGCATTTCTCCTCTCACACCACCCGCTTCTGCTGGGTCCCCTTCTAAGCTGCCATCTCTTCCACCCCCGCTCCCACTCCTATGATATCAAAACTGTGCAAAACTTTAACATAGACCCCATTTTGTAAATGGTTGAGAATGCATACCTCCAGAAAAGATTATAAAATTAAGGGAGAGAGAAGAGGGGTAACGCCAGTTTTCCTCTGCTTCAGTTGTCAATGGAACTAAAACAGATGGGTCAGGCTGAAAAAAACGTGAGATTGACACTAGATGGTAAAGACAGTGTCAGTGGCCGGTGGGGTGTAACAGAGAGAGCCCAGGGCCGAGCATCCAACGTGAGAAGCGTGACCTAGAACGATTACTGGGATCTGTCACTCCTCTGCTTAAGGTCACTTCATCACCTTTGGATGGCTTCCCACTGACCGTGGGGTGAAATCCAAACGCCCTACCGTGGACCAGGAGGCCTTCTAACCTCCCCTCTGCCGTCCACACTGAAGACCTTTCTGTTTCTTGAACACACCTAGCTTGTTCCCGCCTCTGGTCTTCACCCTGGCTCTTCTCTCTAACATTCAGCTGCAGCCCAGTTGTGAATCTTCAAATTTTACCATTGATATAACTGTGTGGTAAATCTTATTATTGGTGTTAGCTAAAATATATGGGTATCTACTCTGGGATAGACACTGAATGATGCTACTGAGTCAGTGACTTAGAAGCCATTCAAGTTTTCCGCTGTCCTTAGATTTTAAGATTAAGAGGATAAGAGCTTCCCCTGACTCATGTCTAATTTTGCTTCTGTGTCTGATTCAGGAAGGCGGACGCACCAAGAGCCACCGATATTGGCCCAAACTGGGTTCCAAGCACAGCTCAGCCACCTATGGCAAGTTCAAGGTCACCACAAAGTTCCGAACAGATTCCGGTTGCTATGCAACCACAGGCTTGAAGGTCAAGCACCTTTTGTCCGGGCAGGAAAGGACAGTGTGGCATTTGCAATATACTGATTGGCCAGATCACGGCTGCCCAGAGGATGTTCAAGGATTTTTGTGTAAGTCTTTCCTTCCCTGTCGGGGTTTTACCAACAATAATAATGGTCTTATCAGTTGGAGGTGAAATGGAAAGAGAGTCTACTTTCTCTTAAGTGGCAAAACATTCAGTATATAATACTTCAGTAGTATGTGTAGAACAGAGAAGACTAATACATGGCATTTATCATATTCTCTTTACCATGTATGCAGATGAGCTAATGTGGTAAACTAATTGGTTCTACCTTGATTTAGACCTTTAGTATTCTGGTACATGTCACGTGTCTGAACCTTGAAAACATTATGCTAAATAAAGTAAACCAGACACAAAAAGACAAATGTTGTGTGATTCCACTTACATGAGTTATCCAAAATAGGCAACTTCATAGAGACAGAAAGTATAATAGAGGTTACCAGGGGCAAGGGGGAAGGGGAATAGGAAGTTCCTGTTTGATGGACAGAAAGTTTCTGTTTGGGACAATGAAAAATTTCTAGAAGTGGATAGTGGTAATGCTTGCACAACACTGAATATACTTAATGCCACTGTACACTTAATGTAATGTACACTAAAATGATTAAAATGGTAAATTTTATGCTATGTGTATTTTACCACAACCAAAAAAAAAGAAACACAAAGCAATAAAATATAGAAAAAACAACTTCAAAAGTTTCTCATGAAAATTTATATCTCGGAAGCCCTGTATTTCCTACAGCAGTAAATCCCAATTAGTAGTTTCTCATACCTACGATTAAACATACTAAGAATTATTGAAATCAACTTGTAGTATTTGAAACTATCATTTTTGGATTCATTAATTTATGTGTAGTTTTCAAGCTATGGTTATCTTAGAAACTAATTCATCCAGATTGTATGCAGTACTTTATTTGTAAGGCCAGAAACTGGGTGTGTGTCCACCAGTGCCAGGCACTGAATTGGGCTCTTAGAACGCAGAAATGAAGCAGTCTTTGTTTTAAAGGCTCTTGCGGTCTCATGACGAAGACAGGCCGGTGATCACTGTCCGGAGGTGAGATCTGATGCTTTTGGTGATGGCTGCAGCAGCCTCCTTCCCTTCTACAGACTTGCCTAAACATCCTGCACTTGCGGGAAACCCTACTCTTTCCTCACCCAGCTAGGAAGGAGGCCTGAGGGTGCCTTGCAGATTTACTACACCTGCTATGTTGTTGACTCACCAGCTGGCAGAAGACCTATGGCCACAACAAAGGGAGGTTGGAGAATGTCAAAACCTTGATTTTTATTTTGATATTCATTTAGAGTAGGAGGGGTGGGGGAGAGAAGAGAGAATAGGTTTTCAAGTACCTAAAGTACCATTTCACAAGTTCCAACAGAAAGATTCTGATGCACGCTTATTTATCAATGCAGCTATTTCATTTTTCATTCAAGTGATGATGGTTCTTAAGGAGTCGGACACTGAGAGTAAGAAAGATGATTGGAATCAAAGGATCTAGAATGAGACCTAGAGCAGGTTGGTGGCTGGCCTGAGGTCAGACAGTTACCTGCAGCTCAAAATATTAATGAGCACAGTGACCTCTGCAGAGCTTTCTTTCCTCATAACAGTGTTCTTTTTATTCCTTTCTGGTACTGTTTTGCTAATTGCTTTATTAGAAGCAAGACTCAGAAAATGGAAACAATAAAAGTAGATCCGTTTGATGACTGGCTAACAGATCTGATAAAAGGTTTTATGAGATGGTTAAAATTATAATCAAATCTTTTAAATCAGAACCAATTTAAGGACAGCCTGTCTAAATTACTGAAAAATATAGAGAATATTTTTAAACAGTGTTTATTAATTTACCTTTCTAAGAAACTCAGGACAAGTGTGCTGAGCAGGGTCTTAGAAATGTTGGTTCTTTAGGTTTTTAAGAATTTTAGGAGATTTTTGTTTGTGTTTAAATGAGATTACTTGGATGCAGAGGAACTGGGTCAAACTGTCTTCCAGAGGGCTTCACTGAGTTCCACCTTAAGGAACTTTATTAATATGATTGCAGGAGGAAGAATCTGCTTAAATCTAATTTCTCTGTGTTTCATGAAATTCCCCTTGACGGTGGCATCAGCTTTATTGATCAATATTCCTTTTACTTCTCTCCTTAAATTTAGCACAAGAAAAACCTAGTCTCTTGTATGTGAACATTGCCTGCCGTCAGAAAATGTTATTGCCTAGTGTCTTTTCCCCTTTGGAAAAAAAAATTGTGAAAGGAATTCCATGCTCAGTATTTAGCTCATGTTGGTACCAATAGCAACTATCTTATCTAGTCACCTCAGATTGCCTTCCCTCTTTTGTTTTGTTCTATCTCATTTTACATTATTAGTGGTGGTGATGGTGATGGTAGTAAACGTTTATTTGGGTAAACTATTTCAGATTACTAATTAAATAAGGTTATAAAAGAAATTGGAGTTCCTAGTCATTGCGTGTAAACAGGTGCTTTTAAATTATGAGAATGGGGACTTCCCTGGTGGCGCAGTGGTTAAGAATCCACCTGCCAATGCAGGGGAACTTGGTTCGAGCCCTGGTCGAGGAAGCTCCCACATGCCTCAGAGCAACTAAGCCCGTGAGCCACAGCTACTGAGCCCGCACGCCTAGAGCCCGTGCACCACAAGGAAGAGAAGCCACCGCGGTGAGAAGCCTGCGCACCACAACAAAGAGTAGCCCCCTCTCGCGGCAACTAGAGAAAGCCCGCGCACAGCAACGAAGACCCAACACAGCCAAACATAAATAAATAAATTAATTAATTATAAAATATTATGAGAATGGTTTGAATGCTGTTTTCCCTTCAGCAGTTTGAGTTTTTCTCCTCATTTGGTTTTACACTGCTGCACTGGGATGAGATTTTCTGAGTATCAGGAACCTTCAAATCTGCTTCTCCCCTGAACTAGCTACTATAAAATCTCAGTTACTAATTGACTTTTTCCGGTTCTTGGATTGTTTGGGAATTACATTTATATACTTTTCCTTTTTTTCATGACCATTAAAAAAAATAGTCCTTAAGGCTTGGGTTGAGCAATTTTCAGTTTGTGCCCAGCTGGAGTAGTGAACAGTCTCCTGCACAGCCCTGTGGGGCTAAGCAGATGTTGACGGGGCACGTGGCACACACCCTACCCACATGTTGCCTCCAGGAAAGGGGGGTTATCTTGAGCTACTCACATAACCACATGGGATCCAAGCTGAAAACCAGGCTCCCCAAAGTCTATTTTATAATCTAAAAATGGAGTCAAGCCTCAGCTGACATTCACTCATTCAGTGAGGGGAAGGAAGAGAGGGCAGATGGACGCTCTTCCCACCAGAAATTGGCTCTGACAGGCGGGCATTTCAAGGGGACCTAGCTGGTGTCTGATCCCAGTCTGTTAATAGTAGGAATTGCTGTAAGTAATGTCGAGAATCATCTGCTTGGGGGACTTTGGGATTTGCAGAGGGGAAGACAGAATTTAATTTTTTAAAAAGAACTATTTAATTTAAAGAACAAATTCTCCCATGGACTAACTGACTCCCAGCTGGTCCTTTCTGGATCCAGGACTGTAGAGTGGGTACCAGCCAAATAATTAGTGTCTTGTAAGTAGTGTAAATTATTGTCACTTAAAAAAAAAAAATTCACAGTCAGTTTTTTTTCCCCTCACTTGTATGCAAAGCGATGCAGGACATCAGTGACAAGATTTGCATGTTGTCTTGCAGCCTACTTGGAGGAGATCCAGTCGGTCCGTCGCCATACCAACAGCATGTTGGAAAGCACCAAGAACCAGCACCCCCCGATAGTGGTCCACTGCAGTGCTGGGGTGGGAAGGACCGGCGTGGTCATCCTTTCTGAGCTGATGATCTACTGCCTGGAGCATAATGAAGTAAGTCATTCTGGGCTTCTGAATCCTCCACCTTGGGGACCAATCTACACCATGGCCAAACCTTCACCTGTGCCCTTCTATTTCCACTGTTTAATGTCCTCTGTCCTGACGAGAGTTTTCCAGACCCATGATTCCTAGTTGGACTCTGACATTTACAACCTTCCTGATCTTTCGCCTTTCACTGCTCTGTGTAGAGACCCCGATAATATAGAAAAAGAGTTGAAACTGTGAGAGAGGCAACATTTAGAAAATCTGATCTTCGCTGGCATCAACTCCCAGAAGTCTGCAGTGTTTTGTAGAAGGTCTGGTTTTATTGTGGGTAATTTTCCACAGTGGGTTATGGGGTCGCATATAGTATAGATGCGTCTTGCATTTCTGGGATGTGTTCTGGCTTAACTCCTACGTGAAAATGTGTGTACTTTAAACACGTTTTTCATTCTTTAGTGCGGAGTCTTATTGAGGGGACTCTTTGCTCTCGTCTAGACTGGCAGTGATGTGTAGCAAAGCCGGGCAGATAATCCGAGGGCACAGACGTGGCCTGCCTCTGCTGAGGCTGGAGGCCCAGCTTTTCTCCCATAGACGCGGGCTGCGGCTCAATTTGTGCCCACACGGTGTGTGGCATTCCCTTCTTGCTGTAGGTCAGGGAGTTACACCGAGGGGCTTTTGATTTTGTAGAGATGAGACAAATGGCAATCAAAGGCGAAAGAACAATTCTTCTGCCTTCTATTCTCACAGGGGGCTTTAGGGGTTTTAGATGGCTTTCACTTTTTTTTCCTTAGGTTCTTTAATCACCGCTAGCAGCACACGTCCCGTTCCTGTTTTACAGATGAGGATGCTGAGGTCCAGAAACAATCTAGTGGCTCGTCCAGTGCCAGGTGGCCCTTAAGCAGTGGTGCCAAGGTTTGAAGTGAGGTCTCTCACCTCCTGGCCCTGAGTTATTTCCTGTCTTCACTCTGCCTCCAAATGCCAAGTGTCATTTGATTCTTGTTCAATTTACAAATTGTACAGCTTGGAGAATCAAAGGAAACTTTTGAAGTGGTGTGATAGTTTTAAAATCAGGAGATGTTATAATGCATGTTCTGTGAAGGAATTTATATAACAATATATGTATTTACTCAACGGTTTGAAGATCAGATTAAATATTGCCCCATGGAGTTTGTTATATTCAGACTTCTCGGAAAACGATAAATGCCAAGTTTAAATATGTTCAAAGGATTTTTAAGTTCCCTGCCTATGAAAGGTTAATTTTGGAAACTTCCAGTCTGTACATATGAATGTTTGTGCTGCTAAAAAGTAGAAGAGGAGTTATATCACATGTGGCCTATTGTTCAAACAAACAAACATTCTATTGGGGAACAAAATGCCCATCATGGAATCACTTGAGTCTATGTAACAGAAATCTCGTCATCTTCTATGAGTTTTTATCGTTTTGTCTCGCATGAGATTTCTTGATTGTCTGCTTCTCTGTCACTGCTAGAAGTCTCTAGGAGTTTCTAGTAGAGTGAATAGCTCGCCACTGAGTCCCAGATCCGCTCACTGCGGGAAGATAGACTAAGATGCAGTGGAATCCGGGTACGTGTGGCTCAAGCATATCCGAGCTCCGCTGGCAGCACCAGTGGGCTCCTGGGGAGGAAGAAGGGCTGCATCAACCCCTCCCCACTTAGAGATCTCTTCCTCATGTCACTTTCTTCGCCAGATTCCCCTTCTTTTCTGCATTCCCCATGTGCTCTTCCTCTGTCCCCCCTTCCTCCTTTGCAACTTGAGAGGCGGTTTTGTCAGTCTGGTCTGACATGAAGGATCGCTGTGTTCTGAGAGCTCTTTGGAGACCCATCAAAGGCTGAGCCTCAGTAACATGATGACATGAAGGCTCATCGATCACCAGATGTCACTGGCCCAGTGGAACATAACAGATGTCAGAGCCAGCGTGGTACAGAGTAAGGGGTTCAGCCACCGGGGCCTTGAGTGGACTTGGGGAGGGCTCAGGGTGATTAAATTCTCTATGGTGTATCCAGACATAGCAGATTTCCTCAATGCCCAGTTGCATGCCAGAACATTTACTGGAATGTGGTCAGTCCAAAAAGGACTTCTGTTCCCATTGATATTCAAAGATAGCAAGATGACTCATAGTTTTCACTTCCCTTCCCCTAGCACATGTAGCCAGCCTTATCTGTCCCATTTCCCATAATTGCTATTGGTAGCCAGCTAGGGAGAAAAGAGGTCTCTACTTGTTCTGCTTCAGACCTGGCTAGTAAAATTTAAACCCTTATTTTAGAAGAGGAGTGCGACCATGTTTCTTTGTTTTTTAAACAAAAGATTTTGCTAAATCAATATAAAATTGGTTGTCCCATTTTTCTCCCGTCTAAACTTTCCCATCTTCTTTCCATGGCTTCTGGATTTAGGATACTTTATGTTTTAGTCTATAATCCATAGAGTTTTAATTTCGTCAGTGAAATGCCTTTTCTTTTTCCTGGAGCAAAGATGCTTAACCATGAAGTTGGGCAGCTGTGAGGGGATTCTCCTGGGCTGCCCTGAGAAGCTTCTTTGTGCCCTGTTGCCTTTGGTCACTGAATGTTAGCTATGACATTTTAATGCCCATACATTTGTTTTCAGAACGCACCAGTTTCATGGTTTGTGATACTCTCTTGGCCACCTGTCCCAGATTAGCTAAATTACAAAAGGTCAGGTTCTCACTAGCCAAAGAGCAAGATGTCTTGATCTTGCTGCTTTTCTGAATTGGTTATCCCTCCTTCGTAGAGTAGTGGGGTGGGGGGGACGTCTTCTAAGCAAGATGGAGCAAGCGTCAGCTGCCTCCGGATTCCTTGGGTTAGGGATGGTGGGCAGCAGAGCCTGTGGAAGTGCATCTTCAAGGCAAGCTAAGGATTCTTTCATTGAGGACCAGGGGGAACTTTGTCTTGTCTCCAAACTGCCCTATATCACCTAGTATACTGTCCTTGAGTCAGCCTGAGGGGCTGAGTCTTACAGGCTATGGAGATGGTAATGACCATGAATGATAGTGGTGATGGCAGAGATGGAAGTGGAGGAGATGGCAGAGGTAAAGGAGATGGTGGTGGGGGAGGTGGTGGTGGTTGTGATGATGACGAGAATGAAAATACTATAATAACCACAGCTAACGTGTATGTAGTGTTTACCATGTGCCAACACTATTTCAAGAGCCTTACAGCTCGTAGCCTTCACAGTGACCCTACGAGAGAGGTTCTGTTAGTACCCTCATCTAACAAAGAGAAACTGAGGCACAAGGAGATGAACTCTTAGCTTCTGTGTGACCCTGCCTCTCTTGTCAAAGCCTTTGATGGGTATGAGGTAGGAGCAGCCTTATTCTATCCTTATATTCAGTGCCCAACACAGAGTAATGCTTATCATGCATTATGTTACGTTCATCATTAGGTGCTCTGTGTTGTGTATCATGATGTCAGTCACTCTGGAGTAGAGTTTAGGCACAGACCCACTAGTTACCATCAGAAGCTTATGGTCTAGGCTCTGTATTTTGACTAATAGTTTAAGGATTCACATGCCTTTTTCTCTTTGCGTATTACCAGGGACTTGTCCCTTTTAAATCTGTGGTGTGCATTACTTAACTAGTTTTGGAGAAGCGTGACTAAACAGGATGGCATGCATGGTACTGTAGCTACACAAAGTTTGGAAATAGCTGAACTGACTTGAAAGTAAAGTAAGAAAAGACATACAGCTGAGTTCTTATTATTTTATTTCTGATGCTTGCTCAGTCCGTGCTGAGTTCGTGGGTGTGGTCGTTTGCCTGGGTTAAGGGCTCCCAGAGCAGGGGGAAGTATACCAAGGCCATGATGGTACGTTGACTCCATGGTGCTTCTGCCTTGGCTGGTCCAGGAGGATGAAAGTGACACAAGTGAGGGGACACCGTGGCACCGATGATCCGCCGTATTAATTCCTTTCCATTGGAGATCTTCAAAGAATTTACACATTGGCAATCTCATTTAATACTCAAGATATCGTTAGTTAAAGACTTTCACTCCAAACATGCGTGACTGGTGCCCAGAGATTGTGCTTTGACGTTTTAAAGGTTTACACGTAAATTATCTCACTTGGTTATGCCTGCGGTCCTGTGGGGTAGCAGGATGGGCATGAGTGTTCTTATTTCATTAATATTAATGAGACAGTGAGTAGTCTTTATTAAGAGCCTACTATGTGCCAGACACTGTGTTAAATGCTTTACATGTATTTCTTCATCTGACCCTCTGAGGAGGGTACTGTTTATCACCCTGTGTTACTGCCGAGGAAATGTCACTAACTTGGCCAAGGCCACACTGCCATTGGAGGAAAGCATCATTATCCTTATTTTACAGATGAAGAAGCGAAGACCCAGAAAGGGCTTAAATCCTACCATTGGGTCATGGTAGGGTTAAGAGTACCAATCGGGTTTAACTCCAGCCTCTGTGTTTTCTCTAGTGGACTGGTCTGTAGTTAAAATATCACACCCGTGGTACATGACGACCAGCTTCTCCAGTTACTGTTAGGGTCTTTGACTGGGATAACCTAGAGGGGGCTGTCTTTGGCTTTCTCCTCTACCTGCACAGGGGCAGCAAGTGAATGCTTCCTGGATGAGGGAATGAGGAAGGAACCAAGGGAAGCCCCCCCCGCCCCGCCCCATCTCAGGATCTTCTTCTCTTTTCTTGCAGAAGGTGGAAGTGCCCATGATGCTGAGGCTCCTCAGGGAGCAGAGGATGTTTATGATCCAGACCATCGCTCAGTACAAGTTTGTCTACCAGGTCCTCATCCAGTTCCTCCAAAACTCCAGACTCATTTAACCCCCGGCTTCAGCTCCTGGAAGAGGCGGCCAGCCCCACCGTACAGATGGGGACACACCTCCAGACAACATCTGCTCCCCCGGCAGGGCGCGGATGGCCGGAGCAGGCAGGTCACGGGCTCCCTGAAGACGGGAGCGCCAAGATCGTTCACACACGTCATGTATTATTTTATAGGAGATAATTTATTTTTTCCCCCTTTGGAATAACTTTTGTGAATCATCGTAATGCAGTTTTCACAATAATATAGTACTTTTCCTCTGAACCACATTTTGACTGATCTGCATTGTAATAGGTCAGTAGGGAGGGTTGCCTGGTGGATTATTTGGGGGACAGAGGCATAAGGGAACACATCTCTAGTGAAGTTGCAGCCAGATTTGTAACCAGCCCTGACATTTGTCAGCCTCATTGCTCACGTCCACATCAAAGATGGCAAGAAAATGAGTTCATCCTAAAATATAAAAGATAAGGGCTAAGGCCCTTTCCTGAAGGAGAAGAACAACACTCTTTTCTTATATTTGGGGGCTCCTGCGGCTTGATGGGCAGTTCCTTCCCTTTCCCCTTTTTGCCCTCTCCCTCAGTAGTCTCTTTTTTCCTCCCAGGCTTGAGTTAAAGACAGGACCAGCTAGAGGAAATGCTCCCTTTCCAATGCAGTGATTGCCATGGCCCGGGAAGAACGAGGACTCTGTATCTTTCTCAACCACTCCTTATTCTGGGCTCTGGAGCCTGTTCCCCTGCTGGAGACTGCACCCTTGATATTTGCTGCTTCTCCCTGTTGGCTCAGTGGACCCTAGTCCGGTGGCCTCCGAGGCCCTGGGCCAGGCCGTCTGTGCAGCTAGGCTTCTTGCCTGATTGAGAGAAGATAACAAACCAGTGTGGAAGAGAGAGGAGACATGCAGGCCCTTGACATTGTTTCTTATTTAAATATGAAGCGTGTGCTGACGGGGATCTGAAGGTCAAGGTGCTGGGTGCCATGGAAAGGTTATAAAGGAAGCGGTTGGGAAAGCTGAGGTATGGGGGCTCTTTGGCACTCAGGTGGCAGGGGCCCTGCCAGGAGCCACCCCAAGTGTTATCCCTGCTGTGCTGCTAAGCATCTCCAGCCTTTGGCCTGCAGGAGCAGAACTAAGCCCACCCAGGACCTTGCAGTCCAAAGCTTGGCCCACCTGCTGAAAGACGGTGAGATTTGTGCTGCTTTCCTTTTCTCCATACAGCCCACTCTGGTCAGTTGTGGTATTAACCCTGCCCTCAGTTCGTCTCCTCTGGGCCTTCATTGGCCACTGTCCTTCTGAATTTTGTAGGTTAGTACATAATAAATCATGTTCTGCACAGTTTCCCTCCTGCTGACTTCTGGGGAATTTTCCCCTCTACTGTCTAGTTTTTCTTGATGCAACTTTTAATTGTGGCTTTGTTCTTAAAATTGACTTTTGCGGGTGTTCCATGATGCCTTCTTCCACTGCTCCCTTTTTTTTTTTTTTTTTTCCTCCCTCCTGAGGTGCAAATTATAAAGAAAGAAAGGCATCCAGTCGACCAGAAAGAGTGTGCCTTTGTGGCTTCCGGTCACCACAACAGGCGGGTGCGGAAGCAGATTCCTGATGAACTACTTTGGAGTATGAATTAACTTGGTTTCACATCTGGCCAGGTGTTAGAGTGGTGGTTCTCTGTATTTGGACTCAGTATCTGGCGATGGAGGGCCTCCTACCTTCTCTTCCAAGGTCTAAAGAATCAGTCAAGGAGTAGAACTTCAGCTGAGCGCCATAGATTCTGGAATTTTGCTGCGTGATCTGAAAAAGAAAACCACTAGTATGACGTGTATTTTCAGTGGATCACAGCTCGTAACCCTCACTAGGAGACGCTCAGAAATTGGATCATCGGCGAGCAAAGAGGTATTGTTTCCATTTCCTTAGGGACTTTCCATCCTTGGGATATTCTGCTGTTAGGGGTGTTTTAACAGTTGCTCTGCCGTTACTGGTTTATTGTTTGAGGAACCACATCGGTATTTCTCTTTGTCTCTCAGGCCCCAGTGTGGGGCGTTAAAATGGCTCGTGTGGGCAGCGTGTAGATCTGCTGTCTCTGAGCTCATCACTCACGGCACTCCTTTCAACTCATCCACTGTTGCCACTTGGTGCTCTGGGAATATTCATGAACGCACAAAATGCAAAGAAGTAGGTTCAGTATCCAATTTCCTAGCCAAAGGTTGTATTGAAACTCAAAGGAAAACATTTAAAAGTGATTCCCCATATTTTGTTTTTAAAAACAAATGCTTTTCGCCCTTGAGCCCATTTTGCCTTCCTTTTCACGTCTCCAGTAAATGCCAACCTATCTCCTGTTAAATTAGCAGCAGCCATTTGAAGTCCTTTCAGTGGCATCTGCATAATAATTGCCCAGAGATGCTTTATATCTGGGAAGCAAGCCAAGGAATAAACCTTGAAGCAAAGTGTATTAAATTAGTTATCTAGTTAGAGCTTTTGGAGTGAGTTCCTGACGATGTATCAAGTCTGAAGCTGGAGCTATCGGGGTCTGTTGCTGCAGTTTCGACTTGAAGGGAGAAAATTAAAAATGGAGGGGAAAAAAAAAAGATACCATCTTACAACAAAGCCATCCAACACTTTCAGGCCTCTGGTTTTGAAGTTTTTCCAGTTGAAATGTTTTGTTTCTTTCATCCACTCCCATTTGGATATATTGACCCAGTGTTCATCCTTGTTTACCGTGGTGCCTGAACCAGTGGGGCTGAGTTTGACGTCTTCATCCTTGAGCTGAGCTAAGCCTGTTTGAAAAGCCGAACCGTACCCTGTTGTGCTTTACTGGGTTCCTTGGGCTTTAAGCGGACACCACCTTGGTCTCATTTACATTTACACACCACTTTCCCTGGATAGGAAGTAAAGGAGGATCTGGCGGCTTTAGGCAGGGATGTCAAACGTGGAATATTCTGAGTAATAAACTTCCGAGAACCCTAAATAGAGAGAATTTTACTTCTATAACTTTTGTGCTCCTAGATTGAGAAGAGGAACTATTTTTGGACTGTAATTAGTCAGTTATTGTTTGCCTCCGAGTCCCGTGGCCATCTCTGGCCCCTTCCCCCCATCGGCCTGGAGAGAGGGTCTTGGTGGGCTCCGCTGGGTGACATCCTGTGGGACTTGCCCACTGGCTTGCCCAGGACTCACTTGACCTTTATCCTGCCTACACTCAGCTTTTGTGGTTCTGTTATAAACACCAGTGGGTACCGTAAGTCAGCACTTTTATCCAACTGCCCACCTTTCTTATCTTTTCCAGCTTAATATAGGTTGACTCATATGAAATTTCCAATATTTGGACCATGTTTTACTTACAATAACAGAAAATTCACATGGATCAACCTAACACTTACAGTTTGTTTCTCCTCCCCGATTAGTATGGATCCCAGCGCACCATAGGTCATTTCTCAAGTGCTGATGAACACGAAAGCATGTACAGTGGGCGGCTTGGTTCTTTCTGTGAACTCACTGCCTTGCTACGGCAACCCTTGCCTCACTTGAGTGGGCCATCCCTGGGGCTTGGAGTCACTCTTTGCAGAGAGCACTTTGGATTCTCATAGGCAGGGTTGGCCATCACGCACGTGACTATGGGGTTTTCAGCTGCCATCCTTTCTTGATATACAGTCTGTATTAGCTGACCTCAGCCCAGTGGTTATGGAACACAACATGTGGGCCCGAGGTGTCCAGAGTCACAAAGCAGAATGTGCTTTTGAATCTCTCTTCCCCACTTCCAGTGGTGCGTGGGATGGAGAAAGTGGGTATGGTTATTGATTTTCTTTGGGGGCGGGTAGATCTGTCAATCGCTTGAGGTCAGGGGGTGGGCAAATGCAGGGACCTTCTAAGATGTGTGCCAGGGAGCTTAGACTCAAGGGTTGGGGATTGAGTTTGAGCCATATTAGTGTTAATCTACCCTTCCTTCCTCCTTCGTGTCGGGAGTAACTGTCAGGATCCCAGAGTAAGAAATTTCCAGAAGCACCAATTACTGTTGGGCTCTTAAGGTGGCTCTTTGTGGGAATAGTTTCCTCTTGTTTTACCAAAGATACTTCTGCAACTGTGTTTTATTTTATTGCCTATGGATTTTATCAGACACTCATCATGCTCTCACTTAGTGCTTTCTTTTCGTGAGCAAGGTAACAGCTCATCTAGCACTGATTCCAAATGGAGAAATCTGGGGTTTTCATGGAGACTGCAAAAATTTTCCATTGGTCTAGAGCTTTACGGGTGACAGATTAGTTGGCCCTATAGGGTTGAAATAATCCTACTCGGCCCTATAGGGTGGACATCTCTAGCATATTAAATTATGTTTGACACTTCCCGTGAACTCTGAGCAAGTTAAGCACAATGGTTCTTGTCTTTGCCTCAGCTTCTAAGACATTTGGGGCAAAAGACCTTACTGGTGCATCCATTGAAAGTAACAGCAACATGCCTGGGAGAAATGGGCAGGTATATCCAATCAAATTCTGCCAACTCATATGTGTTGCCCCCAAAATTGCTGTTCTTCATGGGGTCCTGAGGAACTTGATGGCCTACTCGCCTGACACTCAACCTTTATCCTGCCTGCTCTCAGCTTTTGCATTTCTGTTAGAAACTCAGATGCATTGTTTTTATCCAGCTTACTACCTTACTTATTTTTTTCCAGCTTAAAACAGCTGTGTCTTCTTCCTCAAGGCCAAACTAAAAGGTTCTCTATTAAAATGTCCATGAGCCTGGCACTGAATATCTGGCATCAGTCGATTTCACAGGACTGCATAATTTATTGTTGCTCGGTGCAGTGAAAAGGAGGATGTGCATCAGTTCCTACCGTTTGGAACTTTGATCAGCCCTCTCATTTAAAAACTAAATTCAAGGAACTTCTCGTTTTAAGACAGGAGGGCAAAAGCTGATGGGCAGCCTTGAACATGAGAACGCATCTATCTAGAAAGTCACTGTTCCTTCTGCCACGCTTTGGGCCATCAAGATCATTCTTTCCAAAAAATGCCATAAGCTTGCCCAGAGAAGAGCTATAAATGGGAAGAGAAAGAGGAAGGCTTGGAGTTTCTATCAAAAAGTTCCTGATTCACAAACAATTTTCTGAACTCGGTGATGTCTCTCCTACTCCCTCCCTTTCTATAAGGCCAGAGGGATGGAGATGAGGTGGTGATCCTGGGAAAGACCGTGCTGTAGTGGGGAGATCTGTTTCACCCTCACACAGTTTTTGCTTTTTTTTTAAATTATTTTATTTTTGGCTGCGTTGGGTCTTCATTGCTGCGTGCGGGCTTTCTCTAGTTGCGGCGAGCTGGGGCTACTGTTCGTTGCGTACACAGGTTTCTCATCGTGGTGGCCTCTCTTGCTGCGGAGCACGGGCTCTAGGTGCACGGGCTTCAGTAGTTGTGGCTCGCGGGCTCTAGAGCGCAGGCTCAGTAGTTGTGGTGCACGGGCTTAGTTGGCTCCACGGCATGTGGGATCTTCCCGGACCAGGGCTCGAACCCATGTCCCCTGCATTGGCAGGCGGACTCTCAACCACGGCACCACCAGGGAAGTCCGTACCCTCGCTCGTAGTTTTAAATCATGTCCTCACTGTTGCAGTGGAGCTTGACGAATGTTCTCGATTCTGATGCCTGCCTAGGTCTGCTGCTCAGAAAGACCACTTCCCCTCGCTTGCTGGTGGCCCTCCCTTTCCTTGCAACCTTATTAGCAGAAGATTTGCTCGACCACACAGCTCTGGAGTTAGCTATCACAGCTCCTGTGCATCTTTTTTTTTTTTTTTTTTCGCGGTATGCGGGCCTCTCACTGTTGTGGCCTCTCCCGTTGCGGAGCACAGCTCTGGACACACAGGCTCAGCGGCCACGGCTCACGGGCCCAGCCGCTCCGCGGCATGTGGGATCTTCCCGGACCGGGGCACGAACCTGCGTCCCCTGCATCGGCAGGCGGACTCTCAACCACTGCGCCACCAGGGAAGCCCCTCCTGTGCATGTTGATTGCGCCTCTCCTCCGGCCCGGGGGGGCTGCAGAGCGGATTCCCCTTCCCAGCACATCGTGTTTCTAATCAGGGCATAAAAAGCAGGTAAGACGTCAATATATCAGTAGTGACGGCAGTTCGTTGGCTCACTTGAGGGCACAGGTGGGACTACTTTGTGATGTCACCCTCTTCCAAGAGCACCCAATTCACTTAGGGCTACGCCGGCCTTGTTTTTCCTTTGCTTTATGGATCAGCTCTCGACGGCACACCTTTTCTTTCCTTTCCCTACCCTTTTAGCAACTCCTACAGAGCAGCTGAATCTAGTCATAGGTAATCACTCTCTTCAGTCTCTCCAAATTATGTAATTCGGAAATCTGATTTTAATCCTGAAAAGCCTATGTAGTTTCAAAAAGTAAAATTTGGCATTTATGTAGTTTCAAGGAATGAAATCTGGCAAAGGGAAATAACCATAATGAAAATAGCTAGGTGCTGTCGGCAGCCAGGAAGCTGTCTTTACCCCCTTTCTCCCCTTGGCGACGGGCACTGGCAGTACTAGAAGGAGTGGAAGATAAGCTGGATCGATGGTCAGTCCTGTTTAGGACAAAGGTTGCACCACTCCCTCAGGCTTCTTTTGAGGCGAGCTGACATGGAGCCACAGCGGCTGCATTTGGCATCGTGACACATGTAGTCGGATTAATTTGTTTCTAGCCTTCTCCTGCTGACTCTGTTCCCTTCACCGTCACCTCTACGCAGCCTGGCCAGTCTGGTGAAATGGGTGAAGCTCTGGGCTCCACAGGGACATTTCTACGTTGCCTTGTGATCCGTTCTCCACTGTCTAGGGAAGGGCAGGACACGCTCTTCATCCAGTCTGCAATGTGTCCTATTTTTTTCTTCCTCACCTCCACCTCCTCCTTCAGGGAAACACAGAGGCTGCCTCACCTGACAGAGGTTTTGGGAAAAAGCTAAAAACGTTAGATTGGGGTCTTTTTGGGCCTTAGGGTGGAACTAGTTTGCTAACATCTCAGGAACCCTGCTCTGCATTGAGCTCAGCTGGCTCTCAGAGCAGAGGTGCTTGGCGTTCTCAGCATTTCTCAGGGGCCTCCCACCTCCCTGAACTGTATGTAGTGTTAGCTAATAAACACCTTCAGCTTAGAACTGAGAGCTGTCCTTCAGAGCCATTTTTCCCCCCAACTTGGAATACCGTAAAATGTGATTGCAACTTCCTTTGACTGAACTTTCTTGCCAGTTTGAAATCTTAAAAATCTGTTACCCTTATCCTTTCAAAAGTAAGGTTACTCTTCATCAGAGATGCTTTCCTGTGTACGTCCTTTGTTCCTTCAATAGTCAGCTAACTTGCTTGAGGATGTGTAAATGGGGAAAAAAGGTTTACATATGCAGATGACTATTAGATAACCTTAAGTAATTTGTGTTACATCAAGTAACATGCTGATCTATTTCGTTTCACTGGACTATTGTTGTGAGACTTAATTCAGTATTTTGATGCTTTCCTTGGTCTGTGTTTTATAAAATGTTGTGAATTGTTTTATCATTCAAACCAATTGACATTTAATAGGTCTCATTTCGAACCTACAGACAAGTCCCTAATGTAGAAACCAGTTTGTTCTT